GATACTGTTCCATCACCAGAACAGCCATTCATAGTTACGGGCTAGTAACGGGAACATTTCTGGAACATTTCTGGAATCCAATATATATGCATTTGTATCACATATTTTTGTATCCATATATTTCTGAAATCTTCCTAGCTCCAGTCTGGCGGATGGTTGGTTAGTAAAGAATTGGAGGTGCAATATGTAAACATATTTTTGAGATGGATTTCGTTCTAAAAATTCCATCCTAATTGTCTAAGTTATTGGGTCAACTAGGACGGGAACTAGGATGGGTTTTGATATAGGAGAAAAGCTTTTTTCTTTGATCTAACTTGTTCTTATATACTATGTCCTAGTTGTCATAGTTGTCCTAGTAAAAAGTAAAGTTCTAGGAAAAACCGATTTTTTATATCTTATGCATGCTATGTATGTATGTTATATATGTATGCTATATATACCTATATGTAAAAAAATAAAAAAGTCTGGGATTTTGTGTTTTTTCTAGGACAACTATGACAACTAGGACGGGTATTCAAATTCCCTTTAGTTTGATTTGACAATGCCATTTAGCTATAATTTTCCATCCTGGTTTCCGTCCTAACTCGTCCCAGTAAACTTGGACGGATTTTTCTAGTAAATCCCAAAGGGATCGTGTCACTAGTGACAAGTCGTATTATTTTTGTTTATATCTAAATTACCTACCAGTATCTCTGTCGAAGCCAACTTAGCCTGCTTTTTCTGATGATAATGTTCCCTTGATCTATGTTTTTTTGCATGCGTATCGCAATAGTCATATTTGGATCTTGTATTCTCTTTACACCCGGGTTCTTTGCAAAAAACTTGCCTAGAATTCCGATGGACTTTACATTCCTTTGGATCATAGCATCTCCGATTGCACACTTCTCCAGTCCTAAGAATATATGGACAATAATAAAAATTCTAAGGTGTCAGCTTTTTTCTGCCTCCCATTTGTATATATCAATTAATAATGTCGGGGAATTATTTTCATTTTAAACTTTTTTCTTGCGAATAATATACCTTGAGATTTAGTATAACTATAAATCTTTCGAAAAAAATGGCCGAACATTTCGAGCTTTCAGAGTTCCTCTCCTCCGACGCCCCGCCGCCCATACTATTGTGGGTTTAAAGCCTCCGATGTAGGTTAATACCGATATAAAATTCGTGATGATAGTGTTCAGCCAAGAAATTTCCTTGGCGCAGATAACGAGGACGAAATAGAGGCCATACTTGCAGAACGTGAAGGCCATTCCTTATACGAAATCATCGATGGTGATGAACCACTCCGCCCTATTATAGATTTTGACTTACTAGTAGAAGCATTAAATGCTATTACCCCCAAGCTTTCAAGCGGTCAGGCAAAAAATTTACTTTGTCGCGCCTTTAGAGATATTTGCCTAGAAATATTCCCAGAATGGGATAAAGAAACTATGTCTATTGCCGAAAGTAGTGATGAGAAAAAAATATCTCTACATGTCTTAACTTTCAGCATGAGACTTCCAAATATCGCTAAGGTTTCAGCTTTCACCGAACTTGTTCGCAAGAAACTTCCAGCAGGATTACAGAAAAAAAGGATAATTGATAATATAGCAAATATAGGTTCTTTCAAATCTTTCTCCTTGCGGATGCTTGGAACGCCCAAATATGATAAAAAAACAGACAAACATGTTCGTATAAAAAAAGCTATTCGTCCAAAAGATGGATCCATCTTTGACTTTATGATTCGTCCGCCCAATGATGATTCCAGAATCATTGATAGTCCTCTTTTGACTGTTTCAGAGCCAGAAGTTAAGAGATGCCCGATCAAAGGAAATGAAAATACTGATGCCAATATCGAAAATGATCAGGCTGAATTCGATTTCATAGAAACATTACTTAGAGATAATTCTATCGAAGGTTATACTCTCTCATTTCCTTCAGATAACATCCCTGACTTATTTCCATTAGTACGCAACTCCCCATCGCACTGTCCAATATGTGATCGGGAACATGAAAGTGATAATGCATATATCCTACGAAATAAAAAAACATATAGATTTTATTGCCATCGTGCAAACCATGAAAGAGAACCTGGAACTAGAAATCCCTCAGTAAGGCTTACTATTAGCGAGACAGCCTTAGATAGGGAAAAAAACTTCTGAGTCCAGTAAGATTAGAACAACCCAGAATTTCGAACCCAAATGATCGTTTTGTATGGTGGGACTTAATATGTATGTGTACTTCAGGTAGTAAATTCTCCCGCGCTGAAGTTTATAAAGCAATCCAATCAACCGTTGCCTATATTCAATTGGATAAGCCAGTCTGGATATTAAAACATAGGGATCCAGAAAATGGGCTTTACTTTGGTATGGGAGCCGAACTAAAACTTGCCAAGTTTGTGATTAAAATAATCGAATATGGAGGTGAAGCAGTGAAGTTAAAATCATTGATAGACCAGGCAGTTATTAAAGGTCTAATAGTTTACGCAAATTATGATTTCCTCCCATATCCCATAAGCGTTCCTCAACCAAACACAGAATTTTTTAACCTTTTCCTAGGATTTTTGGCTAAGCCAGCGATGGATATTAACAAAGAAATTATGGATCTGATCCTTTGGCATGTAAGAAATATAATTTGCGATGGGAATGAAGTCCTTAATGAGTATATCTGGAACTGGTGGGCCCTTTTAGTGCAGAAACCACAACAGAAGCCCCGATCAATCTTAGTACTAAAATCCACTCTACAACAGTGTGGAAAAAATATTATTACAGATTTTATTGGAGATAAAGTCTTAGGACCACATCTTCATTTCGCAACATCGGATTTAGAAAAAATTCTTGGGCGGTTTAATAGCGCCATTCAAGCTTGAAAACTTATCATTATGAATGAGACTGGAATGTCTAGTGGGGAATGGTATAAGTTTAACGAACATCTCAAATCTCTCATAACAGAAGGAAGAGTTGCTATAGAACGTAAAGGTCTTGAAACTAAACGATTAAAAGACTTCACCGGGTATATGATTACTAGTAATCAGGATGCGCCACTCAAAATAGACATAGGTGATTCTCGTGTAGTTTGTTTTAATGTCTCTACACGCTGTAGAGGAAATACAAAGTATTTCAAAAGACTAGGAAATATACTTGACCATTCTGATGCGCCTGGCATAGTTATGAAATATCTTCTTAGTCGTGACCTTTCAGATTTTGAGCCACAGGAAATTCCTAATACTAAAATGAAAAAAGATATAATGCGAGACCAACTTCCCAATCCCATTCGATTTATTATTGACCATATTGGATCCTGGGCTGAGAATAGTATAGTCAAGACAGGTCGAACATTATTATATCAAAAATATCTTGAATGGTGTGGGGATAATGGTGAAAAGCCATTTTCTAATAACATTTTCGGCAAGAAGCTATCAGAGAAAAATATTATTGAATGTAAACAGGGACGAGTGGGTGGTGGGAAAAGAGAATGGCAATACATTCTCGACCGCTCCAAGATCATAGCTAAGCTCCATGAATCTGGCCTAGGTGATATGGAAGAATTTTCCGATACACCTATCGAAGATACACCTCAACCTGTCTTACCCGAAAATGAGACAGCAGACATACCTATATTTAATGTGCCGGAAATTATCCCTCCCAAAATAATCTCACCTTTTCCAGAAAAGAATACGCCTCCACTTAGTACTAGTAAAGATAAGAAGGCGAATAAACAGGACGATTTGACCCAATCTCTTTTTGACTATATGGCAGAAGATACACGTGCTCCGGTCGCCTCAACATCTGGCACATCCGAGACTTCTAAAACAGCTGAGCCACTAATCGATGGTCCTGAGACTAGCAAGCATCCTGAGTCAGATGAGCCTATTTGTGAAGTAGTGTATACGCCTTCTAAAGAAACAAATGTCAAGCGCGATTCTTCTAAGCCTATCAATGAAGTATCGTCTGCCATACTTTTGGCCAGAGCTCAGCGAGATGAGCGTCTCAGAAAAAGGGCAGTCGAACTTGGTGAGGATCCAGATGTCTTCGTAACCATTACCGAAAAAGACAGGCTCGATTCCATTACATTTCGGGATAGGATGGAAACTGATTCACGAATGTGTGGTTGGGCAGAAGAGTTAGAAGAAGATCCCAAAGAATATATGGACATGAAAGTACGGGAAAGATTAATAGGAGAAGAAATTATCCGTCGTGGGCTCGAGGATGATGGAGTTACATCCTCCTGGCTTGATACTGACGAGAAATGGAAAAAAACAGTAAGCATACTCCAGGAGAATGGTATGCTTTGGTAAAAAGCGAATAAGAAGCCGGTTTATAGGTGAGGTGTTTGGGTAAGAGGGTCTATTTATTCTTTACAACTAGGCGATATAAAATTCCAAATTATTATTATTTTTTTTTCGCATATCATATCTACCCACAATTTTCAAATATATATAAAAGATATCCCGGCCGGAACTCGTGGCCTCATAGAGAGCCCGCAATAAGTTATAATATTCTTTTTGCCCACCGACCATGAGTGGGGGCCGTCGTTTACTAAAATAAACGCAATCATCGGAATATTTTTTTTCGAATTAAACTTTTTCTATGTATGTATAAGTAGATAACAAATATAACTACTTATTGTCAGCATGGCTACCAGAAAAACAATCCCGAAGACTCGAAAGCTGAAAACTAATAACTTTGTTACGATTTTAGAACAGCACCTAGATAAGTATAATTTGTCGGCCAACTCCACCTTAGAACAATTGAGAGAACATGCTCCAGAACTTAATGCTCAACTACATGATTGGACAGACCGCAAGAGCATTAAAAATCTCCTTGTCAGAGGTACTAAAAAAAGAAAAGCATTTAGCAAAGAGCAGATAGGGGTTCTCGTGCCGGACAAAAGAAAGGAAAAGCTCACCATAGAAGAAAGGGCAAAATACTGTGCTAAGGCCGGTACTGCTTTGGACATTTTCGCCCATCATTTGGAGTTAGGTCCGAAAAATAAAGATGAAAATGAAATCGTTGCTGGTGCCTCGCGTCAGTCAACATTCCGTGTGAAGTTAGCAGAAGGTGGGGTAGATACCGCAACTATTGATACCTTTGCTAAAGATCCAAAACTTATTCAAGAGTCTAATAAAATTCAGAAAGAACGAACTGATGAGACAATGGCTAACTCGGATGGAATCCCCCCACACTTCTCTTTAGCGAGGGTATGTGAAAGGCTTCAAAATATAGATACTTCTAAAATACCTAATCGAGAGAATCTCGCAGATGTGATTGTGATGTTGAGCATGAGACCTTCAGAAGTATCATCTCTTCAGATTATTCACTATGAACCAGAATCCGAGGATCCTCCCGCATGGTATAAAAGGGGTTATACTTGGTATTGCATAGGTTATAAAAAGGATAAGGGGAAGAAGGACCCACGACGATTTCTCTCTATGGAAAAGGATCCAGAACGTGCAAGGGAATTGCTTATCTGGATTCAAGAGGCAATTAAGGCTGGAAAGTTACGTGATCCTGTCTACGATAAAAATGGGAAACGTAATATTGGTAATGTTAGAAGCTTTAATGAATTCTTAAAACAAAAGCCTTATAAGTCTCTCCCAAAGGATTTAAGAAAAATAGGAGGTAAGCACGCTTGCAGGACTCATGGTGGACCCAAATCGACCCCTCAGCATCTTAGCAATCTTACAAAAATCGCATTAAGACATTATATAGGTCTCGATGCTGGAAATAATTATTCTAAAGGTGATACGGAAACAGAAGACTCAGAATCTGATCACAACCCAGAGCCAGAATCGGAGTCTGCAGAAAATGATGAAATATCTGATATTATCAATATGTATAGTTACTAGCAACGCGCCTTCGGCAAATTTTGTTAGGTCCCAAAATTTATGATTGAGGGGTATTTTTTTCACATATCCTATCTATCTGCAAATTTCAAATTGGCCGTAAGATATCGCATGGCTATTACAAAAGCAACCCCAAAGGCCCGAAAACCCAAAACAAATAACTTTAAATCGATCCTAGAGCAGTTTTCAGAAAAATATAACTTATCTGCCAAGTCCAGTCCAAAGCAACTGAGTAAACACAACAAAGAGCTTGGTGCTTCATTACAGGGTTGGGAGGCCCGCAAATGTGTCAAAGATCTCCTAACCCGGCGCAAATATAGTAAAAAGAAGAAAGAGGCTCTCGTACCAGATAAAAGAAAGGAGAAGTTTACTATAGAGAAAAGGGCAGAATATTGTGCCAAGACTGGTAATAAGTGGGATATTCACCGCCATAGTATAAATTTAGGACCGAAAAATAATGATAAAAAAGAAGTCATAGCAGGCGCTTCACGTCAATATCGATTTCGTGAAAAATTAGTAAAAGCCGGAGTGAATCCCAAGATTATTAATAGCTATGCCAAAGATCCAGACCTTATCCGAAGATCTAACAGAATTCAAAAAGAGTATCGACAGCTACGTGAGCTCTTCGACGAAAACTAATCACAATAGGTGGGCTAGACATCATTTATTAATTTTATTTTTTCGTCCAGACAAGATATAGCATATTATAAAGTATCGTAAAATGGTAACCGATCAAAAGCATTCATCCGATAGTATAGCTAGCGAGCAGGGAGTTATCCCAAATACAGAAAAATTAGCCCGATTATTGGAGGCAGATAAGCAAAATGTAGAAGCATATAGTGCGCTTTCCAGTATAAGAGAGGCACTAAAGAAACAATTCGAAGATTGTCATTCCCAAAATAATACTTTAGAAAAGAGGGTAAAAAGACTGGAAAAAGACATAAGATCCTTAAAAATCGAATTTGGGGATCTGGACGAATGTGTGGATAGGGAAACTGTGGTCGACATAATACATGAAATAGTTCCCTCGCTTATTGGTAAAAAAGGGTCGAGAGGCGCTGTGTATAGAGGGAGTTCCTCCTATTCGTCTGAATCTTCTGAAGGATCTGATTCGGTCGAGACAATTGTGATAAGAAAGAGCGAGGATATCCCTCATAAGCAACGAAGGAAGGCACGACTAAGAAAGGTTAAACGGTTAGTAGTTTGAAGTGGGTTGATGAGTCAAGCACTTTACATATTTTCGATCAAAGATATTAAGTTTAATTTATAAATAATCAAAATGGAAAGTGACCCAAAGCATTTGACGGCCTTAACTAATATCCCGCCCAATTCTACTTCGTCCAAGTCTAGTTCATCTGAATCAAGCTCATCCGAGACTAGTTCGTCTGAGTCTAGTTCGTCATCTGAGAGTAGTTCGTCTAAATCAAGTTCTTCATCCGAGAGTAGTTCATCTGAATCCAGCTCATCCGAATCCAGTTCATCCGATTCTGACATTGATGTAATAGTAAACATGATTAAGTATCAAAGGATTCGGGAGCGCCTAGCCCGAAAGAAAGATCAGGAGAAAAATGCATATAATAAAAAATCTTGATCTAAGCTAATTGATAGAAAGCAGTGATTATCGGCGGACTAGGCTCAGAATGTTTTTTTTTCTGATTAAAGATACAGTAACTATAAAAACTAACCCATTATGAAAATAGATAGCCTGTCACCTAAAGGATACGATACATTTAATTGGCTGGATCAAAATTGGCCTCCAACTTCACCAATATTGGAACCTGAAAAAGGTAAAGATAGCCCAGTACCGGTTCAAGATAACCAATTACTAAATGAATTTTTTGAGGCGTATAAGGAATATAAGGAATACACCTCATTATCAGGTCTGGATTTACGTAAAGCAGAGATGGAAAAAGGGTTCTTCAGAGGCCTCAATCAAGAGGCAAAGATCCGGTTTGCCCATAAGGAACCTTCGGATCCTCTAAATAGGTTATATGTAATTTTAGTTAAATTAGATGTTCCACTTTATCTGAAATTGCAGATACTAACCGGTAGTGATCCGAATTTGATTCGATCTGAAGTGATCCAATGTCTCGAGAACAGGCGAGGAGGAAATGAACACCTGTCTTAGTTTCCCATCCGGTAGATCCAGTTTTTTCGGACCACTACCAGCTCGGCTAATTTATTTTTTCGATTAAAGATACATCATATAATACAGACTATTTATGGCGCAAACAAGCATCTTTTATTTACCAGAAGTACTAGAACATATTTTACATTTCTTATTGATAGATAAATCTCTCTATCCCGCTCTATATGTTTCCCGATTGTGGTACAGATGCGGTGCTCCTATTCTATGGAGGCGTATTGAGCTAAAGGGAGGGGAAGCAGAGGATCGAACTCGATTAGAAAGATTTTTAAAAATAGTACCCGGAGGAGGAAGAAAGCCAGTTTATAGCTCAAAACTAACTCATCTTAAAATAACACGCTATCCTTCACTTTCAAATAAAAAAATCAAAGGCATTGTACACACATTCCCAAATATAATTCATTTAAATTTCGAAGGGAGTACAGACGACCGTTTTGGTAAAACTCTAAAGCTAATAGCAAAGTCATACCCAAATTTGGAGTATCTTAATATATCTACTTTACACGGATTTAAATCAGAAAGCGATATAGGTTTATCTGCAATCGCAAATTCATGCCACAAACTAGAATATCTAAATATTTCGGGTCATACAGGGTTTTCTGAAATAATAATTTGTAATGTTATTTGCTCCTGCCCGAGGCTCCAACAACTTGACCTTAGCTATTGTGAAATTACTGATATAACTATTGAAGAAATTGCTAGATCATGTCCCAATTTAAAATATCTTAATTTAGGGGGGTGTTATAAAATTAGCAAAGAAGCCGTAAATAAGCTAAATCCAAATGTCCACATAGAGAATTTCGAGGAAACTTTATCACCTCCCGATCTCATTAGAGCAGTTAGAAATCATCTTATACAGAACAACGTTTTTAGTAGACAGATTTTAGCTCAGGGACTTCAGCGCCTCTTAGATTTAAGTATGCGAGATAATTTGCAGTGGTATTCCGATCCAGGGTTGGCTAGATCAATAGTCCGGAGCAGTGATCTTCAGCTCGGATGAATTTGCTGGGCCACTCCTGTGCGACAAAAAATAAGTGGATCATCAGACAGGTCTTGTGCGACAGCCGTTAAGGCGCTAAAGCATATTAATTTTCGCATATACTGAAAAGAAGCTATGCACGCTACCAGTACTTTATTTTTTATTAAGTATAATTGATCTACAATATTAGCAAAATGTTTGATGAGGATATAGATGCTGAGAAGGAGAAAGCCTTCAATGAATTTACCAAAGAATATGGACAGAGAGAAGAGGATTGGACTATTTATGATGATTGGTATGACTGGGATGACCTTTTTTGTGAAATTAAGACCCATTGGAACACAAAAGTGGTCAAGTATTGGAGAGAGAAAATACTTAAGCGATTTGTATATAGTCTACCCAGTGTAAGTAATCCAACGTCATTATTCCATGTACTCTTACAATCCAATGTTATTTATCTCCCACAAATAATAAGTCTAATAGAATTTCCATATTATCCACTTGAACTTCGATCAGAAATATGGGGTCCCTCCAGGACCTGGCCGGATGGTATATATTGGTCAGTCCGAGGTCAATGATCTGGTCCCTTTAAGACCTCTTCAGCTCGGAAGAATTTGCTGGGCCACAGATTGTGCTACAGAAAAATAAGTGGATCATCAGTTAGGTCTGTACGACATATTAATTTCGCATATATATTCGAAAAAAAAAATATATACTAACCAGTACCTCTATTTTTTCCCCAAACCAACATGAGAAAAATGTGAAAGGAGGTCTACATGCAACACAGGACCAACTCTAAAAGTAAATAGTGCTGACAAAAGCATATGTTATGAAAGGCTAGTGGAGTCGCAATTCCGAGATCAGCAGGCGTAAAGCCAACTATGTCTCTCCGGTAGATCTACATGTGAAAAGGTATGAGGGTTCCGTTTACATATGCTTTCATGGAACTCTTGGCATCAGACGACAATACTAATTACGCCTCATACCTCCTTATCTTTTTCCCAGCAAGATATAAAGCATGTAGAGGTATGTGGAAGTTCAGCCAACTTTCCGCAAAAATATTCCTGTAAAATAGTTTCACTAGCGTAGCTAACGCAAAATAAGGTATGTATATGCCAGAAGTTATGTATGTATGGGAATGAGTTTTTCTCACCATGGGTCTTGTATTTAGGAATCAAAAATGACCGATGAAAACATTACTCTCAATTGTCTTATTGTTCCTATAGGAGAACTTGTGAATATTCCATGCATTAAAGTAATGCAGGCAATTTCAATTCGCAAAAATGGAAGTTATATTGACCTTCAGACTGCAATTAGAAGCAGATTGGGGGCACCATTTAATAATATCATTCTCAAAAAAATTTGTATAATTCAAGCCGGTGGTATTGAAAAGGAAATGGATGGGTATGAGGACACTATTTCCGATTATTTTTCTGAGGAACCTAAAGCAGAGCACTTCCATATCACTGTATACCCCTAGTAGTAAGAATTTTTCATTCGTATCATGTAGCGATATATTCGCAATTTTATGTATTGTAGGCCGGCTTCCGGCAACTTTTTTTATTTCATAAATAAAATATTATTTACGTGGTCCTTTCAGGATCTGTTCTTCTTGAAAAATGTCACGTGTAATGATGTAACATAATCGCCTGACAATCCTGTACTACATCTTAATTGCATATATATTGGGCAAATGCATTATGAATCGATACAAAAAATCTATCATTTCTCTCCGAGCGCTTTACACCGGAAACCAAAATACTTTTATATCCATAAACCAGCTTTACCTGTAACTGCAGTCAAGTACATATTTTTTCGCAAGCACAAACACAAGCACATATATATAAACACTATGTCTTCACAAGCTTCTTCACCTGCTTCACCCGCCTCAATAACAGAAGAAATTCCCACTAGAACGATGTCAGACGTCGATTAAGGATTTTAATACAGAGGAGCTTATCGAATATTTGGGGAGGAAAGACCTGAAGCTCAAAGAGTCTCACTTTAAAATTTTACGAAAGGAAGAAATCACCGGTCTAGCCTTTCTCAAGTTAACTAAAGAGGACTTTCACAGTATTGGCCTCACATTAGGTCCAGCAACAGTTCTTGCAGAATTTATCGAAGGTCTCAGTCAGAAATTACGAAACTATTCCTCGCTTAAAACTCTCGACGACCTGAAGGAAATGTTACGTAGAAATAAGGTCAATGGGGAAGATATAACAAACATCAAGCAATTCACTCCTGGTAGGTGATTATTTTTCGAAGCTGACTAGATAGCTATATTAACTTTATTTTTCTCTGTAGTCTACGAGGAGATTAGTGATGAAGATAAGGCATTCGATCATTGTATGGAGGACATTATCTTAAAACTTTCGAACGTGGAGACCATGACCGATGCTAACGAGGCAACACGCTGTGAATTTATTTCAGCTATATTACATGCGTCAATTGCCATCGCTAAAAAACTCACCTCTCAAGATATATTCATAGTTTTACAAAAAGATATTTCTGGTGAAGATGCGACAGGCCGAGTAGATTATGCAATCAAAAGTCTAGAAGAACTTCTTTGCATCACCGAAGGGAAACCACGTAATATTAAGATTGGATATGCGCAGGTAGGACGGTTTGTCTTCTTAGTCTACTGGTTTTGAAACGACTAAAGAGTGATGTATTATATTTCTTAGAATCTGGCGCAACTTGAAAGTGCGTTCCAAACAAATAAGAAAAAACGAACAGCGGATCAAGCGTTTAATGAAGATTATTTCGACTATCTCTATGGCATTGTGACTACAGGTACGGAGTGGCATTTTATAATATATACTCCGGATGGTATATACTCTACGAGTGGAAGTGAATACCAAATTAATCTCACAAAGTCTGCAGTTAAAGATAATCCTGAATTACTTCGAAGCAATGTAAAAAGGGTAATCGGCATAATTGTAGGGTTATTGAAGGATCGGGTTAGTGGAGATAGTTCCCCAACTAGCAAGAGGGCTAGGATCAAAAAATTTATCAAAAAATAATATGTATTGCAGGCTACGTCCCGAATTTGTATTTATTTTTTACATGTATTAATAAAAATTTTTCTTCGTAAGGAAAAACGTGTGATTTTTATTATTTTGAATATATCGCATATTTTGTAAAAAAATAATGACAAATTCTCACTCCATTGATTCACTAAGAGAATTAAATGCTAAACTCTTAGTTGAGATTGCAGAGCTTAGAATGGCGAATGCCTGATCTTAAAAGAAAGTTAGCCAAATTTAAGTCCGAGAAAGTTGAGCTTAAGGCCGGACTTGCCGAAGCTCTAAGACAGGCTATGGAAGAGAGTAAGAAACGTGATGCTGAGAATGCAGAACTCAAGACTAGAATCGAGATTCTTGGCCAAGAATGTTAGGCGTGATTGATGAGTTTAAAGCCGAAGTGGTGAAACTAAGGGATGGCGATGAGGAAAGCAAACAGCCAACCAAAGATATTTCCGAAGTAGTTGTCAATGTGCCTAGTTCCATTACAGATCAGTGTAATAAGGCGCCATCTTGTTTGAGAGATCAGAAGTTATCGGAGGATAGGAAAATGGAAGCTTTCGCACATAAGAAAAGTGTTAGTGATGGGATAAGGCAACGCAATAGGGAGAAGAAAATTCAACGTGAGTCAACTGTCCCTTCCAACTTATTGCTTGTTACAGAAATTTCTCTAAGAAATGATGAAATCGAAAGTAGCACAAAAACCGTTTCCTTGGGAAACGATCAACAAAAAACTACAAGACTGGAACTTAAGCTATTCTGTTGACTATATGTAGTTTGTGAAATAACTTACGGGGAAAAGGGCTACTATAAAAAGTTTTTATTATGGATACAGTGATTCGAAATATAGTACAGTAAAGTTAATTAGCAGATGGTTAGATAATAATACTGAGTAGAAATATCCCGCTCTCTACCATTTTTTACATTCATTTTTCTTAGCCAGCCAGCTTTACAAAAATATAATAAAGATTTTACTTCGAATTTTTTAAGCGTGTGTGCATTTTATTAATAAAGTTTGCCCACATCGGGCTATATGAATAAAAAGAATGACCGGTTTATATACAGTATGTATTTCATGCAATCTACTGTTTATTTATTTATTTTTTATATGAAATTTATTACTTACAAAGGTTATGCTTTAACCAATATAAATACACAGCTTAGCAAGTTAGCAGAGACCTATTATTATTAAGCAATAATTTTTTTTCACATAAATTTGTAGTGATTTGCGAGAAGAAGTTTCCCTAAAGCCATACTCTTAATTCTTTCATAATAAAACGAGCGACATTGGCCCTACAGGTGAATTTTTCGTTTATCTTTTCAAAAGGACGACAAGTACAACAAGAATCACGAGAATTACAATAATATTCATATAATTCCAATTCTGTAATTGACATAATTTAGATTAATCAAACAACAAAATTATTCAATATGGCTCACAAATTCTTACCTCCGAATTTATAGCAGGTTCGCGTTTAATTGCAATCTCTTTATTTACGAGCTCAAGTCCGCCCTCGATCAGACCGAGTTTGCCCTCAAATATTTTATTTGTGACTGTAACCTCTTTGTTCATTACCGAGATTTCTTTATTAACGAAATCGAGTTTACGGTCAATGTCTTTAAAACCTGCATTCATAGTTTTTTCCAATTTTTCCACCGCCTAAAAAATCAAGATGTTATTATGTGAAACAGGTGGCATCATTTATAAATGAACTACTGATATAGTATGCTGATCAGATAAAGGTTACTGTACATACTCCCATTATTCGGAAAAAGTAAATTAAAAAAGATATAAACGATCCTATCACTCCAATAACTTTAACGAGAGCGTTAAAGTATTCTAAAGATATAATATACAGATTATTGATATGTTGACTAGCAAAGAAACGGCGCAGAAAACTTTTTTACCATAAATTCTTTTCGAGACTTCCCACGATTTCGCGTACCATGTTTGTAAAGCTGGGTTAGGTTGACCTCCCTGTTGTTGATTAGGTTGTTGACCTCCCTGTTGTTGATTAGGTTGTTGACCTTCCATCGGTTATCGGTACCAGTTTATTAATTTTGTAGAAAGGACAAGACATGATTTAATTTATTTATATTAAAATTATGTCGGATCTTAAAAATAATGGTATTTATAACCGTTGATTATAATGAACCGCAGTATACAGTACTTCGGAAAAATTATTGCCGATACTAGAAACCCAGACATGGTTGGAATTTGGAAATTTCTTTTTTGCTACTCTATAGTTAACACATTTTAAGTATATTATCGGATATATAAAGCTATGCCAAAACATACAATCCGAGATTTAGGAAATGAAACCATACGTTTCAAATGGATATTTACGTAATGACCTGTAAGGCAAGAAAAATAAATAAGTTATTTGGGTTTGAATATGACCCCATAACCCTAAAGAAGGTCCAGCGTATCACTTGTAATGCTGATAGTATTTCAAGACTCAAAAATCCCCAAATCCAATACATTATAGATCAAGTTAATTCGAAAACGATCACTAGTGATCACCAGAGTCGTGTGAACAAAACCTCTGATACCATGGCTACTACTTCAACTAACGATTCAGACGATATCTCTAGTGACACCTCAATGTTACAGTTTATTTTGATGAGGAGGTTTTTAAGGAAGAAGGAATGAATGAAGCGATTGAAAAAAAGTCTGAAGTAATCGCTAAGACACCAGAGGCGCAAGCGAAATCCTTAGTTTCAAATGAAGACTATTATGATGTGTATTTTGATGAGGAGGATTTAAAGGAGGAAGGATCGAACAAAGTTAAGTCAGAAGATGATAACGATTCTAGTGATTCTGAAGAGGAGATGCCAGACGATTCGGATGATGATGGATATAATGGATATGGCGGATTTAATGAATATGATGAACGTGATACGATAGAGGTTATTATTATCGTGATGGAGGTTACGAAAGGAAAACCTCCCCAATGATGAGTCCTATTATCTCTCCATTTCTTTTTTCGAATCACGTTGGTGGCTTAGATATTAACGTCATCTCTATATTCGTCATGTGGGCCGATCACCTGAAATGCGCAGAAGATATTCGGTAAAATTCTTGCCGAAGAATAGGGGCTGTGTGACGTGGATTCGCATATATATTCACATTATTTTTTTTTTTCTAATTCGATTTGCATTTATTTTTGCATGTCATGTCTCCGGCCACGCTACTATCATACTGACAAAACAATAATCGGGTATGGATATTTTTTCCAGCAATCATTATTTCGCATATGGGATCGGGATATCTATGCTAATCATGAAGTCATTTTTATCGATTTGCAGGGGATTAACGGAATGACGAAATGCAGTGCGTAATTGCTGGTGAAAATCCGGGGAATGTTTTCTCCTACGAAATTTACAAGTGATATAAAAACCCGTCTTTAGCTTTAGCCAGCAAGATAGCTATTTTTTTTCTGGCTACAAGCGTGGTAAGTGGGTAGGTATGGAGAACCAAGAGAGCTCAGTTAATTTGGAAGCGATCACTGCTGATGAAATCAATATGGACCCAATCGGCAACACACAAAGAAGAGATATTTACGAAGTGCAACCAAGACGCAACAAATCCCTTAAATCAATTGCGTTAAATATATTAAAGTATCTTCCAGAGGACATTCTTCGTGAAGAGCCAGATTTTTCATCGATTAAATCCAACAACACTATCCCGGATTATGGGCCGTGTGGAGAGTGTAGTACCCCCATTTTGGCAGAAGATCCACCTAGAGCGCTCGTTTTAAACGTTTGTGGCGATATGATCCATTGGACTTGTGCGAAAACAATGTATAAAGATGGAACATTACTTTGCTCATGTGGTAAGGCAGATAATAGTGATCCATTATTACCTTTCCAATACAGCATAGTCGATTATGGAGGTAGAGAAAAGAGCAGTATTTCGGAATCTGAGAGATCCTCTCTTATTAACCTTAGAAACCTTGGATATAATATCCTCAAAAGTCTCGAAGATAAGACTGTTAGAGATATTGATTTCCCAGAACTAGGTTCATGCTCTGAATGTGGCAATGACATTTTAATGTCCCCTCTCAAGGCGTTCACATACCTCAGTTGCGGACATATTTTTCACAGACTCTGTATCGAAAATAGACTTTTTATTGGCACTCCAAGCGCATGTCCAGCCCCCGACTGTGGAAAGAGTGTGGACATCTTAGATAAAGCTGGTATCATTTCCAATCCGGATCCCAGAATGACCTCCCAATCGAGTGGAATTTCACCTTCAATGGGAACGTTTGCCCTATCTTCACCGCCTATACGGATGTTAGGGATCGAGGGTCCAGTAACTCAGCAAGACAAAAGTACTTTGAGATGCGCTAAATGCTCTGAAGACCTTTCTTCGTCCCTCCCTCCTCTAGGCTTTCTTCGAATCGCCCCTCAACCTCAAGGTCCTTCGAAACCGCTCGTATATTTAACCTGCAAGCATATTGTCCATTACAACTGTATCGATAATCCACGAAAGCTATGCCCTATATGTCCATCAACTAATGATACGGAAACTGATGATATGGAAACTGACGACGATGAAACAGTAACCAACAATTTTGAAACCCAGGGCTCGAGTACCACGCAGAATAAACGTACTATGGAACCTGCTTCTACCGAAAAATCATCTAGCAAAAAGCAGAAGACCTTAACTAATGTCGGGGAATCACCTACTCTGAAAAGGCTTATCAAGGAGTTAGCAACACCAAGCTCTGCATCGAGTACCACTGATACACAACCCACAATCGCAGACCGAGGCAATCTTACTGATTTATATAATGCGATCCTTACAGCTGAAGAAAAAAATAGAGCTACAAATCAAGAGATTATTTTGCGATATTATTCGTTTGGGGAAGAACTTGAAAATATGTTTGATAGATTCAAAAGTCTCCATAGAGACCGTAAGGCTCAGAGAATGCTCGTCAAAGAAGTTACAAAGCAACTCCCAAGCGATCTATCGAAAAATACTATTGAGAAAAGGATAGAAAGAGCAAGAAAGATTTATGATTTATTTAGCACCATTGGGTTTGAAAAGATACAGCGGGTAAAGACCCCAGTGTCGCATATCTATGGATTAAGCTGGGAAGATATCGATACTCTTGGAGAGAAATTTAGATAGGCTACTGCGCCACAGTCACGTGATTTTCTGACGGGGCGTCAGAGAATTTGAAATCCAAAATATATATATTTGATAATCCTTCCCTTTAGATTATTTTCGCCTGTCAATTAATTAGCTTTGCATGTGCATATCAAATAAAGTTTTGTTCACATAGTGAACTTTTTCTCCTTTTTAATCTCCTAATGTTTTTTAATGTATGCTATATGCGGAATGATGTCTGTATAATTTTTTATAGGGCCGACCATCTCATGACTTATAGAAACTCATCAGCTCCTGGAACTCTCCTAGAACTATCGAGGAACTGGTGGGGATCTCATGTGATACGATATACAGTACATCATGCCACAAACTGATTTAGCCGAAGATGCTGTGCATATGCATGTAAATATAAAATCCGAAGGGATATGACCCTATATAAATCCCTATAATCGAATAAAAATGAATTTGAGTTTAGTAATATGTAGTCCCACCAAATCGGCTACAAATCGATAAAGTTGCTTATAAATTTGAATCCGATATTTATTATAGTATAATATTGCTAAATCATCTAAAATTGCTAAAATCGGCTAAAATCAATAAAATCGTTATATTCTGTTATTCTACCAAAACGCTAATATGGATTTAGATAGTAAAGCCTATTCTAAGCTAATTGATGCATGGAATACTCATGGAGGCTCTGAAGATTATAGAAGAATACTTGAAAGATTAAGCCCTTTAACAAAAAGACATGATCACGAAACACCAGAAATGTGGTGCTCTCGTATTCGTGATCCATTTAGGAAAATACTAGAAGATAACTATTCCAGGGAAATCCTTTCTAAGAATGGATATATTACGATGCATGGAAATTTAATTGAAAGAAGTGATAGAGTCCATGGTCTTCCATCAAATTACATATATTGTAGTGTATGTGACTCCTTAGTTTTCATATCTGAAAATGGCCTTGATGGTCTTGCCATAACCTATCGAGATAGCCACTTGAAAAGATGTATTTCTGGAAATACTATTTCGAATGAACATGCAAGAAGAAATGAAATTCTCAAATCTATTGATAGAAGGGAATTTCAGATCTGGCAATATAGACAATACATATTACAAGAAGAGGCTAAAATTAATCGTCTCCAATTGGAACTTGCATCCCAATCTCTTTCACACTCAGAGAAGGATAAATTGGCATCGATATCATATGATTATGATTCTCGTACAATTGGCTATGAAACATACACACAGGTTAAAACAACTATGGCAAAAAATACTATCCCAAGTGCTCTAAAATTCGAGCCAGTTTATATTACTAATACCGGGCAAGAAATGATTTCGCCAGTTTTACATCAATCATCAAATTGCAAAAGTAATACAAGTGAAATATTTATCTCATCTCGGTATGCTAAACAAAATAACTTATTACCATCTATAGACCATCTTAATCGAAACGGAGTACCCGCATTAAGATTGAGAGATGGTACAAAAATCACATTCGTTTAACTGGTTTAACTGACTGAGAAATATATTAATTATAGACTATTGAAGATTAATATCATTTAGCTAAAGGCGCAATGTATAACTTATACTTTATTTTTTTACGCTATATAATCTGCATACATGATCGCCTAGTATAATTGTGAAATGTATCACCTGCATTTTATGTGGAATATGCATGATCCATCTATTCTGGGTTAGATCCTCCAATATTGTATAACTATTTTAATAAAGTATTTCAGGAAGATCAATGAAGCGATCTTGGGGATCTTGATTCCTAAATACTATAATTACGGCTTTGAAAATTTATATGCAACAGTTATCCAGCGAGCTTACAGGAATTACAAGAAGAGACCTGAATCTTTGGCAAAACAGATTTGGGAGGCGGTGAGGAATGATAGTACTCCTGACATATGGAAGTATTTAGGTATTATTCATCCAGATGAGTATTATTATTATATTAATGGAAAACTAATAAGATATATCTGGAAAGAATGGCATTTTAACATGCAATATAATGGTTATACCCTTTATACTGCTAGAACTTGGGCAGAAGAGAAACGAGAACAATTAGCGTACTGGTTAAATTGGTCAAGCTTTGAACTTGTTAAAAAATTATTACAACAAGAAGGTTATGAACTTCTTTCTGGTGTATTTGAATGGCCTATCATGGTAAAATGGACACAGAATCCCAAATATTATCTTGATACTGAAGAAAATCGCATTTTTAGGTATTTTGTTAGAAAGGATATGTTGGGACCACGTGACATAGAATCCATAAAAACCTATAGTCGGCTAACTAGTGACTGGTGGTATAAATATAAAGTATGGTTAGAAGATTCTCAAAACAAAAAATGGGCATATAGACGGTGCTAATCAATGATGGGAAAAGATCGGCCAGACACAGTTTTCTTACAAGGCTTCAAGTATTCGAATCTGTATCATCTGTGCTATATAGGAAAATGTATTATATTAGCTTTTTTCAATAAAATAATAATATATTGTCCACCCATGAAATGTACCACCTGCAGGTTTATGCAGGAAGGGGTAAAATATTACGATCTGCCTATTCTAGATTAACTCCCGAATAATGTAATGCTAATCTTACTAAAATAGCAATATGCCAATCTGTATTAATTGCATTGTTACAAAACATAAGTATACGCGTCTCTTACCAAAAAACAAACTCTAGCGCGTCTCTTCTTATTTATAAAAGGCCATATATCATAGAGGGTAAGTTCGTTATACGTATTTCTTGCGAAGTGCCTTATCAGCTATTTTTGGGTTTTCTACCTCTAACAAATTAATAAAACATGTCTACTTCTACATCTTTTTCAAACCGCTCCACGTTGGCTGAAAACTGGGATACTGAGACCCTCATTAATTTTTTACGCGATCTGAACATAAATCTCGATGAGGACGATTTCAAGATCCTTCGTAAAGAGAAAATAGATGGTCAGATCTTCCCAGACATGACAGAAAGAAAGTTCATGAAGGATGGTATGAAGTGGGGACCTGCTATGAAGCTTGAAAAACAAGCTAAGATATTTAGAGAGAAATCAAGAGTCTCTGAAAAAGGCAAAATCGAATACTTTTGGCTCTTTCCGTGTGGAGTATGGTCTCTTCAGCATTTCATATCCTGGTCAACCAATATGTTTGGGCTTACCGAAAGAAATGAGGCACATACAGTATTTTACAATACCTTATATATTTTCCGTGATGATCCGATGGCCTCGCAGGAGATTCACGAAGTTGTTAGAAATCTCTTACTTAAGAAGAAGGTATGTGTTTCTATTTTGCAGGCCCGAATACACATTTTTCAGATATGGTATGTTAGGTACAAGAAGCTTTCGCTTGGGGATATATAAGCCCTCGGTTATTGCAGTGTTTTAGCATATTCATTCTGTTAGATGTTGTGAGATTATTTGGCGATACTTTTTATTAAAGGTCTACTGTTTCTGGAGGAGGATTCGGTTATGTACCTTCCTTTTGATAAAAGTATACTGAGTAATATTCCGTGTTTGGGCAGATGGGTTCATATAGGAGCATCCCATATGGTCGTTACTTCTAGTATCACCATTCTAAAAAATATTATTTTTTTTATTTCATTATCCCCCAATGATGATACTTATTACTGAGGGGGTTTACTTTTATATAGGTTAGTGGAAAAAAAGGTCGCAAACCTTTAGCTGATACTTCTAACCTGCAAGAAGAGATAATAGAGAAGCCGGTCTCCTCAAAGTCAGATTCATTAGTTTCTTCCACCCCTATCGCTAAAAAACGAAGTATTAGCAAAGTTTTGGATGCTTCTGCAGATATCCCATTACGGGATGATAAATCTATAGACATTTTGGAGATTTTAAAGACCGCAGTACGTGATTTCGACCAAGGTATAATAGCACTAGGATCCTCCCGCTCATACAAAAGCTCCAATCATTTGTATGTAAATTCTGAACATTATATCAAAGTTCCAAGAGAAAGTACATACGATGCAGAGATGTACCGGGTCCTAGTGAATTGGTTAAGAAAGATCCATGGATATGAGATCACTGGTCAGTGGCACCTCGAACAAGTTTGTGATGATGGGGACTACTATCACCTCTATTGCGACCTAACCATAAAGAAGCCTGAAAATCCCCATCTGGAAGCTCTTCTTGAACTGTTAGCGACGGCTTCAATTTCAAAATTGGATGGGCATTTTGAGCAAGTGTTTAAGTATAAAGAGCAACTCCATCCCCGAGAGATCTGGATTGTACACTTCTCCCGTGAAGATTATGTTGTAACTAATCCGTATTGGCCATCTGAGAAGCTTCAAGAGAAGGGATTAAATGTCGTCCATTTTTGGCATGACAGGGACTTTAAAAATGTTCGGATGAGCGCTAGGTTTCGGGATACTACTGACCAGTACTGCGAAATTATAGATGAGATAATTCTTTAGCTTTAGCTCCTTCGATTATGGATGTACTATTATTTTGTATTATAATAAAAACTGACCCTGGTGGTCGATTTCACAAACATATATTCTCATGTACTATACAATATTTTTTCTTGGCAAATTTCGCTTACGGGCCGTGAGGGAAAATCACATGACCGATCGTTCCCTCAGGGAACTGTTTTTTATTTTTGAATATTAACATACTAATACTACATTACGCAAGCATGCAATCTGAAATAGATGAGACCGATTCATTGAAAATATGCATTGCCAGGCTCGAAGTCGAGAATGCCGAACTTAGAAAGAAGTTTGCTGAGATTGAAGCCAGGAATGCTGAGCTTAAGGCCAGAATTGCGAAATTGGAAGATAAGCAATTACAAAACGAAATAGTTAAAAACTTATTATCTGTATCACGAAAGACGTGATCATGTATTCTTGGCAGATTTCAGCCGGGACACCCCTGCCAAAATCACGTGAATTTTTTGCCAATCGGAGTTTTCTAGCAGATCCCCTATCTGATGTGACGCAATCCGTGATATTGGCGCGTAGCAAAGCACCTTTGGGGAAATTCTCAAAATTTTCTTATAAAATTTCTGAATCTATAAAATTCTCAAAATTTTTTATTAGTTACCTATGGTAACAATGACCGGTATACTAACACCATCTTTTCACGTATATTACTCAAAGCAACTTAACCAGCTCCCTCATTCCATCAAAATAGATGTATGGCGACGTCTTACTTCACGAAAACATCCATTATCAATAGAACAGGCAAGTAGTATCCATCCCGAAGTGGAAGATTTGTTAAATAAGGCGGTTGGAAATTATATTAAGCAAAAAGAGCATCAGAAGATGAAGCCCATTACTAGCGACTGTGAAACTTCGTTAAGGCAAGAAAATGAGGAATTGTGTATATCAAAGCAGGTATTGGAAAAAAAGATTGAAGAGCTTCTCGAATTGCAAGAGCAGTATAAGTCTCGTGAGGTAGCTATGACCAGGTCTTTGGAGGAGAGTGGCGAGAAAGTCACCCAATTATCAGATTCGATAGCTTTATTCAAAAGTATAATTCCTGATACGAAGAAAGCTATTGCATCGGCAGAAAAGTCCATTGACATGTTAGAGAATAAATGCCAGCATCTGGAGGATATTATTTCTGCTAAGGATAGGAAAATTATCGCTCTTGTTGATCAGATCCTTTCTAAAACGGAGCATAGTGATGTGACTATAGAACCGGAAATATATTCTAACACTCATGAAAGGAAATTATGGGCGAAGAGGCATAGTGAATCTGAACATGATCTAGAAATCCAGAAAAAATATACATTTCGTCTCACTTCATCAATAGCTTTGAGGGGGGATTCTACTCACTAAGGAATGCTGTATCCCAGCCTTTCCGTATCCTATGTGGATGATTTCGGGGTACTGTCAAATTGAAGACAATGAAGTTCTGATCACACAAATAGTTATCGACATCCGCATATATGTTACGCCAATCATTGGCATATAGGCGAAGAATACGGGCTAGTTCATCCGAGGTGGACCCATTAAAGAGTACGATATAATTTAATTCTTTTCTTATTAGCTTCGGACAATCAAAAAAACTCTGCGTTACATAGATTGGGCTTATATTTTTGTGACGTCCTTCAGTAAAATAAGGAACAATCTTCTCCTGGACTTTTTTCGAATCAGCACATAGGTCTTCGAATATAACAACTGTTCCTCTTTCTGGAGAAAATGAATCTATCTTTGGAATTTTATCAGGCTTCATAGCCCGGAATGTGATATCTTCACGATATGGTTTTGGGCTATTTGCAATTATCTGATATCCAGATTTGAGATATAGATATTTCGGCTCGTTAAGATGATGGCCGATCAAAATAAGGTCATCATTCAAAATATATCTAGTGCCACCTTTTTTTCCATTAAACATCCGATATAGCTTATTCCCTAATAATAGGTTCACGACTTCATTAGTTTTTCCCGAATTTGTACGACCACTAATTAGTAATGTAAAAGGCCATTGAGGAGTTGAATTCAATCCGTTAAACCTTTTTGCATCTTTAATCTCATCAACATGGAGAATGAATTTTTCTGCCGGATCAAGCTTTTCGACTTTCATATTATCGATACTAGTATTATAATATCAAATTTCTTAGTGAAATTTCGCTCAAAAATACGTGGACTTCCAAGGGTTAGACTTCGCCTCTTTCAAGAACCCTTTCTCAATTAGAGTATGTCTGATATAGGACAGGAGATCAGCTGTATGAGGTACTTCAATAAGGCATATACCTTGGTCCTTGCAGATGTCCCGCTTCTTCTGATCACGTATCTTTTGTATTTCTAAAGTTTCATTCTCTCGATGATATAGACTATTGTGATGATAGTGTTGAGGACCATGGTATTCAAATGCAAGACGCAATTCCTCATTATATCCATCGAGTTGCATTCCATCCAAAAAATTTGGCCTGCATGATGGGAATTTTTTGCCTAGCAGATCCTCAAAAATGTATCGGCAATTCCTTTCGCTAGTATGATGGCATAGCAGACACCATTCAAATTTTTTCATGATATATTTTAGTGGATACTCCCACTGATGCGCACCATTTTCACAAGACCAAAGATATATACCATGACCATTTATTCGCCCAGTCCTTCCTAGACATTGACCACCACGTCTTCTGGCATATTCCTCAGCCTGATTTGTCTCATTATTAGAAGCATAAACAATATGCACAGATAATATGCTTTGGGGTGGATACCCGACCTTTTCTGGATCAACTATTAACATGAGCTCTTCTTGCACAAACCCGCGTGATGGTGTAAATTCATTACCTTCGAGATAATATAATACTGGCTCATTCTTTATAACAATAACTTTTCGGATTTTATGAATAGAAGGCGACCATATAGGGTCAGTTGCGCGTTTCTGATTCTCCATTCCACCCTCCCATTCTGCATTGGCAAGTAAGTAACGGACATTATCACCTTTCTTTAACGTTATTTCATCTTTTCCAACTGGGCGCTTATATTTTGTAGATGGTCTAGATTCGACTCGTTCTAAAGCAATTGCTTTCACAGGTTCAAGTCCCCATTTTTCTGATCCTGGTTCTCGAATAAGGCGTGTGGGATAGTTATTTAGATAATTAATAACTACCGGTAAAAATCTAACCCATGCTCTTATTAGTTTAGGGTCAGAAGATATTGATTCAATAGCATACTGGATCTTGTATAGAATCTTCGAGAGTGTTTGATTGAAACGCTCCACAAATGCAAGACCTCGATGGGAATATGGACCAATCACTCGAATTGTGACATTATGCTCTTGCAATAATCTGGAGGTTTCGCCCATCCATTCTCGCCCATTATCTGTTTGAAGTAATTTAGGATAGGTAAGAGGATTACTAGGATCATCATAAATTTTTCTAAATGCTCTAGCAACTTCTGAACTATTCTTCGATGTGAGTGGAATAGAAGCTTTATATCGGGAAGCGCAGTCTATTATATTAAGTACCGCTTTATAGGTCTTACCTCTGAAATGATCATGGGTAAGAAATAATATATCAGCTTGATGTACTTTGTTGGGATGTGAAATTCGGCCATAACTAACTCTAGGAATATGTTTGGGTGGGAATTTATAGATTTGGTAAGATTCCTGTCTTCCCAGCCATTCTTTCACATCTTTTAGGTGGAATCGATGACCTTCTTTTTTACATGCTTCTCTTAAGGATTTAGGATTAGAAAAATATCCAGTAGAGCGATAATAGATCCCTCACAGGACCAGATTCCGTTCAATACTACGAGCCTCATCGGGATCAATTACAATCTGTGGTTGGCTCATTCTCAAGGTAGGATTATTATGATGGTACTATAAATTAGGATGAAATACCATGTTTGATCCGGCATATTCACAGCTTTTAGATACGAATCAGGAACTTCGTAGTGAGCTTCAAGATGAGATTTTTATTAATAAGAGCAATGAGAAAAAAGTTTGCTCTCTCGTGAAGGAGCTTGAGCAATGTTATCGAACTATCTCATTACAGGATAATACTATCATAGCCCACGAAAAAGAGATAGAGAAACTTAAATCAGAAATATCTGACTTGCGAAAACAGCTTAGGGTTTTACAACAGGATAAAAAATTCAAAGATGAGGTTGGGTCTATTCAAGATGGTCGAATCATAGAACTCGAAAATAAGGTTAGGAGTCTTAAAGCAAGAATCCGGATTCTCATAGATAAAAAAATCTCAATAAATGCTTTAGATATGGCAACGACTAATCTTATTGCAAACGTTAATAGAGGACTAGAGCGGATAGAAAATCATATTAGAGGTGTTGGTACGCCTATGCAGAATCCTGCTAATGTTATAGATGGTATTAGAGGTTCGTTAAATACTATTCGGGTTACTTTGCAAAATATTACGGCTGAGCGTGATCAGTACCAGAACATATTAAATGATACGAATAACTGGGAACGGGATCTTGGAAATCAGTTAAGAGATAGTAGAAATCAGAATTTACGGTTACAACGTTTATTAGATGAATCCCGAGTTCGAGTTGAAAGAACTGTGAGAGAAAGGGACAATGCTCAAGGAGAGCGGAACTTGGCTATGCTGGCCTATAATAATGAAAGACAAGAATCCAGGCGCTGGATGTTTTCATATCGAGATAAAGATAGGCGTATCCAGGAACTATTGCGGGAAAAATTTGCTAAACAACTATTATATCGGCGAGATACTAACCGTCTTCAGCAAAATACCCGACAGTTGCAGACTAATGCCCAAAATCAGGTAAATAGGATGTTAGTCATTATAGCGAGAAAGCAAACCCGTATCGGTGAATTACTACGTGAAAAGTTTGTTTTCCATCTAGTGATTTGGCAAATAGATCAGAATATTTTAAATTTGCATGGACAAATTTTGGCGCTTCAGAATAACCCACCTAATATACAACATATAGGTATGGCAGGATATCCGCCTCCAAAATTTCATGGTTTAGCTGGTGAAGATCCAGCAGATTATATAAGAGATTTGCGACAATGGTGTGAAGCTTCCCCTAACCACGATCCGAATGCAGGTCATCAACACCGAATTCGTATTGACGGGCTTTTTGAGTCTGGTTTACTAGATTATGCAAAAGATTGGTATGAAACTGAGATTAAGGGGAGAAACTGGGAATTGCAAAATATTAGTGATAATACCGGTCTTGCAAATATTGGTGCTATCAATGGACTGGCTAATAATAATGCATTACGTGCTATTAATGCCAATCAGTTTCGAGGTGGGGCGCTTCATATAAGGAATACTGTACCAGCTGATAATAATGCGATTGCCAATCCATTAGTACCTGGACATACTGTTTGGGAAGAAGATTGGTCCATATCGGGTGGTCGCCCAACACATTTAGCCCCAAACGCGCCAAATGCTAATGCTGGTGGTAATGTTATAGCTCGTGGAATGTTTGTTGGACAGAAGATACATACATTTTTACATGACTTTCCCACAGTTACTGCTGAAAAATCTAAAGTTAAATTTCAGTCGCTTATTCAAGGTAATGATCCTGTGGGACGATTCTATGCTAACTTAAAGAGAATGGTTAAATTAGCATACCCTTTGCTTCCTGCCGTTAATCAAGACGAATTGGTTAAACAACAATTTTTTCATGGTCTTAAACCCGATAACCAAATAGAAGTAAGACGAATCGGCCTAGAGACTCCTCTTCCTGGATTAATTAAGAAATTAGAGGAAATTGAGAGATATAGCGCCCAGCAAATTCTCGGAATGACTCTGCATCAACCGTCACATAAAACCAATTCTCAAGGATCTACTTCGGCTGAGATTGATAAGTTAAAATCTGAAATAGCCTTTCTACGAACCCAGCTAGCTCAACCGGTTCAAGTACACTCCCAGAACAATGAGGCCTTAGAAAAGATGTATATACGTGCAGTGCGTTTGGGAATGCCACCTGATGCACTAAGAGATCTTACATCCTTAGATAATTATATTAATGATGAATTAATAAGGAGATTGGGTGTTGCTAATGCTAACTATGCTAAGCTTTCTAAGCAAATCAATGTGGTTAAAAAGTTACATAAAAGTGGTCGTAAACCTACTCGTAAAACTTCTAAAACAAAGAAAAAGAAATCAAAAAATAAGTCTAAGAAGAAAAAATCCAAAAGTGGTCGAGTCCATACAGCTAGAGTAGACGAACAATCGGATTTAGATTCTTCCGAAAATGATGCTTCTTCGTCGGAGTCTGAGGATAGTTCTTCTAGCTCTGAGAGTTCATCCTCTGAATCAGAGTCTGAGGCTGAGGCTGATGCTGAAATTAATGTTAATATATCTCAGGTAAAAAAAAAGTGAAGAAAGGACATAGTCCTATTACCTCCTCACAGAAGAAGAAATCAAAAACTCGCAAGTCTCGTAAGTCTCATAAGGTAAAAGATGCGGAAACACCCGGTCTCTTTGGGATCCCCCTTTAGCAGATCCTTCTGGGATCGCATCAGTTCCTATTTCCAAGAAGGAAAAGCAAAGTTCAAAGTCCCCACCACAGGATGAACAATCCCGCTTAGAAAAAATCATTGAGAAAATTATTGAGAAGGTGCTTAATGAAAAGTTTGGTACTATCACGGCCCTCCTTCACTTACAGAACGATAATTCTAAAACACTGGCCGATTCTGAAGAGGATGAATTCATTGATGTTCCTATGGAGATAGATTTTGTACGGAGAAAAGATCCCGCCACAGATGTTGCCACTGTTAAATGTAGAATTAAGCGTCTAGTGATTCCGGCAGGTACAGTTGATCCTGGTGCTAATTTTCCAATCATGTTTTAGGATATAGCCAAACGATCAAAGCTAGAAATTGATACAAAAGAAAAACATGATCTCAGAGTCATTGCTACTACTCCTACAGAGTCGCTTGGAATTGTTAGGAATGTTCCAGTAAATTTCTCTCCTTGATGTACTATATACGCNACCTAATATACAACATATAGGTATGGCAGGATATCCGCCTCCAAAATTTCATGGTTTAGCTGGTGAAGATCCAGCAGATTATATAAGAGATTTGCGTCAATGGTGTGAAGCTTCACCTAATCACGATCCGAATGCAGGTCATCAACACCGAATTCGTATTGATGGACTCTTTGAATCAGGTTTAAAAGATTATGCAAGAGATTGGTATGAAACTGAGATAAAGGGAAGAAACTGGGAATTGCATAATATTAGCGATAATACTGGTCTTGCAAATATTGGTGCCATTAATGGTCTGGCTAATAATAATGCATTGCGTGCTATTAATGCTAATCAGTTTCGGGGTGGAGCTCTTCATATAAGAAATACTGTACCGGCTGATAATAATGCGATTGCCAATCCAATAGTACCTGGACATACTGTTTGGGAAGAGGACTGGTCTATATCAGGTGGTTGCCCGACACTTTTAGCTCCAAATGCACCAAATGCTAATGCGGGTGGTAATGTTATAGTTCTTGGAATGTTTGTTGGACAGAAGATACATACCTTTTTACATGACTTTCCAACGGTTACTGCTGAAAAATCTAAAGTTAAATTTCAGTCGCTTGTTCAAGGTAATGATCCTGTAGGGCGATTCTATTCTAACTTAAAGAGAATGGTTAAATTAGCATACCCTTTACTTCCTGCTATAAATCAAGATGAATTAGTTAAACAACAATTTTTTCATGGTCTTAAGCCTGATAACCAAATAGAAGTAAGACGAATCGGCTTAGAGACTCCTCTTCCTGCATTAATTAAGAAATTAGAGGAAATTGAGAGATATAGCGCCCAGCAAATTCTTGGAACGACTCTGCATCAACCGTCACATAAAACCAATTCTCAAGGATCTTCTTCGGCTGAGATTGATAAGTTAAAATCTGAAATAGCCTCCCTACGAACCCAACTAGCTCAACCGGCTCAAGTACACCCTCAGAATAATGAGGCCTTAGAAAAGATGTATATACGTGCAGTACGTTTGGGAATGTCACCTGATGCACCAAGAGATCTTACATCCTTAGATAATTATATTAATGACGAATTAATACGGAGATTGGGTGTTGCTAATGCCAACTATGCTAAGCTTTCCAAACAAATTAATGTGGTCAAAAAGTTACATAAAAGTGGCTGTAAACCTGCCCGTAAAACTTCTAAAACAAAGAAAAAAAAATCAAAAAATAAGTCTAAGAAGAAAAAATCCAAAAGTGGTCGAGACCATACAGCTAGAGTAGACGAACAATCGGATTCAGATTCTTCCGATAATGATACTTTTTCGTCGGAGTCTGAGGATAGTTCTTCTAGCTCTGAGAGTTCATCTTCTGAATCAGAGTCTGAGGCTGAGGCTGATGCTGAAATTAATGTTAATATATCTCGGGTAAAAAAAAAGTGAAGAAAGGACATAGTCCTATTACCTCCTCACAGAAGAAGAAATCAAAAACTCGCAAGTCTCGTAAGGTAAAAGATGCGGAAACAACCGGTCCCTTTGGGATCCCCCCTTTAGCAGATCCTTCTGGGATCGCATCAGTTCCTATTTTCAAGAAGGAAAAGCAAAGTTCAAAGTCCCCACCACAGGACGAACAATCCCGCTTAGAAAAAATCATTGAGAAAATTATTGAGAAGGTGCTTAATGAAAAGTTTGGTACTATCACGGCCCTCCTTCACTCACAGAACGATAATTCTAAAACACTGGCCGATTCTGAAGAGGATGAATTCATTGATGTTCCTATGGAGATAGATTTTGTACGGAGAAAAGATCCCGCCACAGATGTTGCCACTGTTAAATGTAGAATTAAGCGTCTAGTGATTCCGGCAGGTACAGTTGATCCTGGTGCTAATTTTCCAATCATGTTTGAGGATATAGCCAAACGATCAAAGCTAGAAATTGATACAAAAGAAAAACATGATCTCAGAGGCATTGCTACTACTCCTACAGAGTCGCTTGGAATTGTTAGGAATGTTCCAGTAAATTTCGCTCCTGGATGTACTATATACGCCGATTTTGCAGTCGTCAAGTATCCTAAGCCGATGCTTATTTTACCCAACACATTGCTTGATAAATATAACTATGATTTACTTGCATCGAAGCGAGAATTAAGACTAAAATGTAATGGTAAGGAATTTTTTATCCCAATTAATATGCATAAGGTCAAGAACAAGCTTGAGGTGAATTGTGCGACCACTATTCCTGAATGTGATGATTCCTCGACCCCAGACAAAATTTCGCAGGACTTAATCGAAGATGGTACATTTAAAAAAAAGTGAGTTATGAGGAGCTTGAAAAAATGCTATATAGCACTCTTAAGTCTAAAGAAAATCTTAACGGACTATGTGAGGAGTTGTTATCACGCTATATCGAACTAAATGAAAAACATCTTTTACATGGCTAGTATCCTATTTATTCCTTCTGTGACTTTTTCACCTCTCTTATCTTCTTTCTCATAAAATGCTCCTAATTCCTCATTGCTTATATTTAAACCTTTTGAACTTATTGAAGCTAGTGGTGTCTGAATAACAGGTGACTCAAAGATGTGAACGGATTTAGACTTAGTTTTTTTTCCTCTGGTCTTTTTCACCTTATTCCCCAAAACAACATTGCATTCTACAGGATCTGCTTGCTGATACGTATCAGATTCTTCTGAAAATGGCTTTATATCTTTAGGATCTATTTGTGGATGGACTCCTCTCCAAATTTGATATACCCGTCGTGTTGATATTTTGTATTTATTAGCCATGGCTTCTGATGCCCGTTTCATTGAATTTTTGGCTTTAATAATATCCTGAATATCTTCAGAAGATAGACGGGTTGCATCTGAGCGCAAATACCTAATCATTTTACAAATGGATAGAAAAAATCTTTCAAAAAAATACCGATATATTTTCGGTATTCATTCGATTTTTGTTCAGTACTATCGATATATTTTTGGTAGATTCGATCCAGAAATTTTTAGTCATATTTTTTTTTACTATAGTAACAGTTAAGCCGAAATAAAAGGCTATGACCAATGTATATACTTTGAAAGATATCAATAATAAAAGTGATTGTTCCTTTAGAGGGGTCGGTCAACGACTTGGTGGTGCAAATGAGCAAGAGATTAAAGAAAAATTATATTCTGCTCTTAAATCTAAAGCTGAAATTAATGATCTCAGCGAAAAGCTGGTAGATAAGTACAATGAGCGAGAAAAGGAGTTTGAAAATAAAGCTAGCCAGTTAATTGCATCCACTACTAAAGTTAGATCCCAACTTATTTCTGAACGAAAGTCTCATACTGAGAGTCAACGTGAGCTTGAAGCCAAATATACTGCCGAAATCCAATCGCTCAAATCTAAGATTAAAACACTGAAAAGAGAGGGGACTTTAGCCCGGAAAGCTTCGTCCGCCGACAAGACCAAGATTCTTTCTCTTGAAACTAAAGTACGTGAATTGGAAGGTAAGTTGGATGACTTGAAACTAGAACAGGTGCTCCATGATTCGAATGCAGTGGGAGGGATGATAGAGGATCCAGCCCAATCTGATCGTAAAGAGATCGATTCTCTCTGGCTTGAATTGGAACGAGTGAAGGAAGACCTTAATTCGAAAGAATATAAAATAGAATGTATGGAAAAAGGGATAGAAGCGACACATGAGATAACCAGTCGGGAAATAGATGCTTTGTATTCGGCACGATCAAAATTAATGGAGAAAAATAGGTCTCTCAGGGACCAGTTAGAATTGGAAAAAAATAATAAAGTAGATCCTCAACCCCCGCCTATGAATGATTCATCGCAACTTGGTCCTGAAGGGACTCCTTCCACTCTTAATCCTTCTCAAATAATTTCTGTAGGTGGCGCAGAAGCGGTGCCTTTACTAGCAACTACTCCTATCGTCACAAGCTCCTCGATCCCGCCTATGTTAATATATTCTATACTTACCCTAGTACTTATTACGATTATATGCTTCATGGCTAGGAAATGGTGGAATTCGCGGAATAAAGACGACCGACCAGGTATGATTTTTTCGGGACAGTCCATCTCGGAAATAATACCTAATCGACTACCGTATAAGTACTGGCGCTAGTGGGACTCCTTCGAATCTTTTTTGAATGCGGGCTAATACCTTTTTTGATAAATCTCTTTCGGCTTGGCGCTCGGGCGGATTTATTAAGACTTTTTTAGCTTGGGCCACCGTACATGCTAGTAACCATCCAATATGAATGAACTCACCTCCCTTACCATTATGTCCATATCGTAGTAAATATCGATAGTCATCCATTACAATATCTGCCATTCCTTCCTGATCTGCTATTATCTTACTAAATAGCCACCTATCCTCTTCTGTGATTGGGAGGCGAATTTCATTTAGTTCGAAGCCTATGTACTGGGAAACTTGGTCGCGTAGTTCGGCCATTATATCAATAAAGCTTATCTTTAAAATATGCAGATTTTCGGCTGATCGTAAACTTTGATATGCAAAATACTAATGATTATCTCCGGGCATATCTGAGGTCGGGATATATGATCGGAGGTCGGAGATGCGAACCCAGATCGATTATAGGAATTGAAGTTAACCGGTATTATTGTACGAAAAAATATGCAGTCATAAATAATATTATAAGTATTCTAGCCGAAATCGTCACACCTCCGCTAGAATACTTAATAATATAATCTGATGGTATCATCTATGGTTCACTTTGTGAACTGAATCATTGAAATACCTAGAAAGTTTATTGTAAGCCTTTTATATATTTTTTAAGCCATTTTTTTGCCTCGTCCTGGGAATAAGTGTCGATCTGCTTTTCTTTCTCATCCGAATCTTTGAGTTGCATAATTTTATGTGAAGGTGGTGGTTGGTATCTATCATCCTCGTTAATAAAGCGTGCGCACATTCCTACTGTTTTTTCTAAATAGTAGTTGATGTCTATTTCCATATTAAGCTCTTTTGCGATGTCTGCATATTCCATATAATCTCCAATTCTATGCGGTTCCTTTCGGCCTTTTTCATTATAGAGAGGTGGGCCTTTGACAACTACATAACTAAACCGTTCGCCGGGATCAGGAATTCTCTCATTTTTTTCTCTCATCCGTCTTATAAAGCGATGGATGCAAAGATTTTTTTTCTTAGGCTTCCATGTAGCCATTACGATAAAATCATCAAAATCCCATTGCTTATGTTTGGCCTCTCTGAGAATATTTTCAACAATTTTATGAATTGAGCGCGTGTTATTTATATCCATAGCTTCCCACATAATTTTTTCCCCAATGTATTTAAAAAGCTGGGACTGGCCTTGCTTTACAGTATCAATTCCTTTTCTAAAGAGTTCATCCGGCCTGAAATTGACAACCCCTTCATGTGGTACACCGAAGTATTTTTTCTTGCCGGTAAAGCAAACAGGGAATAATACTTCTTCATATGCCATCTTAAGATAAGATGTGCCGTTTTCTATCCTAAGATAAGCATTTACTTGATCGCGCAACTTTTTCATCACACCCATAGTAATATTAACCATTTCAGTCCAGTATTCTTCCTTGGAAAGCTTTCCTTCATTAAAAGCTCTATCGCATATTTCATAATACTTATCTGGGCAGGTGAGGTATAAAGAATCAGTATCACCATATTTTATTCCGAAACCTTTTCCAGATACGAATTTAGCGACAAGACCAATATTATATTGACCTGCAGAAGTGATCCCTCCAGCTAATTCACGAAGAAAGAATGGGGATATGCTATTTCCTGCCTCCCCGTAAAAAGTATTCATGTATACCTTCAAAGCAAACTGCTTGGAATTCAAACAGTTATAATCGAAACATACGGATGAGTATTCCGAATTTAAGCTTTCCGGAACTCTTTTACCTCTCTCTTTAGCTAAACTGATCATTTTCCCAAGGCGCTCCTTTTTCTTTCCTAATGAGGCAAGCTGAGCTTTAAGTTCTTTTCTCTTGTTGGACAAATCCTCTAACACAATAGGATATAAACCCTTCTTCTCGAATTGATTATCATGTCTTACACACCAAGCATGAATGATGCGGTCATTAAATGGAAACTCAATCTTATGTAAGATGTTTCCATTTTTTTGCGCATCATCAGCCTCTTCATAGGTTAATATCATTTTTTCTGGAGAGAGGTTGTAAGACATGATGAGGCTGGGATACAATGAGGCAAAATCCAATCCTGTTACAGGTCTTTTAATCTCGATCCCCTTTTTAGGTGAAAATACATATGCACCAGGATACTTGCCCTTTTCTATATTTTTACTCTGTCTCGTGCTAAATAGCATATCAAGTTTGGTGGCATAAGCACCTAGAAGGTTTCGCACCTTCATTCCATTTGCTCGATAATGAGAATCGAACAAAGATACGTAAGCTAAAGAAGCGACCTCCCTATATTCATTAATTATATTTCGCTTAACCATGAGCTCCTGGCAACGCAATGCATCTATAATACAATAATATGCTACTTCATGCATGTTTTGCATGGCAGAAGAATGCGATTCTCTTAGGGAGGTGCCCGCTTTCGCTTCTGAGTAGATTCTCCACATTTTATTATATGGCATATCTGCCTTACCATCAAGTCCACATTTTTTTAAGTAAAACGCAAGCGAGCTTTTCCTATCTACTTCTGCGCGAGGGTAGAGTTTCTTAAAACATACACGTACGTCAATTGGCACACAGCCTGGTATTTTAAGAAAAGTGGAAATGAAATTTTCCTCTGGACAAATTTTAACCTTGATTGGCTGTACCTTGAACTCTTCTTCCTCCTCATTATCAGTAGCACCTTTTTTCTTCTGAAAAGTATTTTTAGAGTTTACCCCTATCTTTCCATAATAATTCCATTTTTGAATTTCTTCAGATGATTTAAAGTCTCCCGTCATCTGCTTCCACATCCATTCGAGAAGATTAAGTCTAGAAGCTCTTTCCACAATGAATGGCCAATCATAATCAGAATCATTGAAACCGAGCTGGATATCAGGTTGAAAGGCTCTCCAACATAATGCAAATGCCTTTAATAAATTTGGCTGATTTCTACATACAACTGTTATCCAGCGTGGGTCTGGCGCAGTTTCAAGATCGACGAGACAGATTTGTTTTAGCGGTTTTGGATCGTCTTTCCAATGCAAGGTCATGCAAATCATAAATACATTATCCTCTTTATTATGTACTTCAGCAAATTCTCCCAGCTCTCGTGATTGCGTCTCTATATCCCACGTGAGGATAAGCGTACGATCTCTTATGAGTGCTGGAAGCGGAAAACGGTCACTTATCATTTTTAGGTCTTCTACTGCTCGAAAATGATTTACAGAAACGTGAAAATCGTATGTATATTGAGGATGTTTTCTGCAACAATACTTGCTCATCATGGACCAACCAGAAATTGCAATTCCATTCTCTCTAGCTATTTTACGGTGAAATGAGGATATATCATCTGATGCAGTTTCGAAATCATTATCTTGGATGGCTTGGAGGGCTTTCTTTCTATCTCCAGTACCATGCGTAAAAACTCGTAAATATAACTTTTTTTCTGTATGATAACCGCGGAAAGGGAATACCTCGATAGGCTCTAGCGTTTATAGTACTACATAGAATTTCGTCTATTTTTATCTTAAAGTCATCCACAGATTCCTTCTCAGGTACGCGAATATCAAAGAATACCCGGATTCCTATAAGGGTAACTACTGCTTTTTGGCCATTGATAAGAGAGCCATAAAGACGCAAAACATAACGGTTCTTTTCTCCTATTTTTTCTGACAACCCTCCAAAATCAACGGCCATGAAAGGGATCTCTTGGTAATTGGATAAAGCATTATCAAGAATTGCTGTTAAACCTCCATCATTTTCCGCAACTATATCATCTCGAGTTGGGATGCCATTCAAGTAATTTGCACCGGAATAGTGAATTACTTGGGCTTCCATTTTATCTTTTTCAGCCTCTGGGTGAAAAAGGGCGGAGGCGTCGGAGAGGAACTCTGAAAGCTCGGAATGTTCAGTCATTTTTTCTCAAGCAATTTACGATAATTTATAGTTATACCAAATCTCGAGGTATATTATTCACAAGAAAAAAGTTTAAAATGAAAATAATTCCCCGACATTATTAATTGATATATACAAATTGGAGGCGGAAAAAAGGTGACACTCTGGAATTTTTATTATTGTCCATATATTCTTAGGACTGGAGAAGTGTGCAATCGGAGATGCTATCATCCAAAGGGATGTAAAGTCCATCTAAAATCTAGGCAAGTTCCTTGCAAAGAACCCGGGTGTGAAGAGAATACAAGATCCAAATATGACTATTGCGATACACATGCAAAAAAACATAGATCAAGGGAGCATTATCATCAGAAAAAGCAGGCTAAGTTGGCTTCGGCGGAGATACTGGTAGGTAATTTAGAGGTAAACAAAAATAATACAACTTATCACTAGTGGATCCCTTTGGGATCGTGTCACTAGAAAAAAAAGCTGGTGACAGAAGCCAGTGACGCAGACGATAGGCTCTTTAAGAATTCTAAGCTGAAAGAAATCTTTCTCGATGAGTGTCACCAGTGTCACTAGCGTCACTAGAAAAATCTGAGTTCCTTAACTTTTTTTTATTTTTTTATAGCATATATACACTATACATATATCATACCATAATATATATACATCATAGAAGATAGCATAGAAAAAATTCGTTTTTTTTTTCAGAATTTATTACTCTTTTACTAGTGACACTAGTGACACTAATCAAGAAAGAAATGAAATAGCATAATAACCTCAAGAAGTATAACGAACGTGTCACTAGTTCTGTCACTAGTTCCGTATACTAACTGTTGACACTAGTGACGCTCAAAAAATAGCATACACACTGCCTCAGCTGAAGAAAAAAATAGAGCTACAAATCAAGAGATTATTTTGCGACATTATTCATAAATTCGGCTCGATAAAATTAAAAGGTTTGATACAATACAGAACTGGCCTTAGAAAGTTGTCCATAGAAAAAAATCGGACTATGAATGCTTCTATGGACGTCGGAAGTAGGTTTTGGGCAGTTTAGATTCCTGGAAAGCCTTCCAGATGGGTGACCATAGTGACCATAGAAAAAAATCAGACTATGGACGTCAGAAGTAGGGTTTTTGATGCTTTTAGATCTCTGGAAGGCTTTACAGATGGGTGACCATAGCGACCATAATGACCATAGAAAAAATCGGATCTCTTAACTTTTTTTTTTATTTTTAGCATAGCATATATTACACATATACCACCCATATAGCATAAAAAATGATCGCATATAATGGAACATTTATAGCATAGGAAAAGTTTCGAAAATTTCCCTACAACTTTACTTTTACTATGGACACTATGGACACTAGGGACAAATATAGAAGAAAAGAAGCAATAAACTTAAAATCCCCAAAAACGATACCATAATTGTCCATAGAAGCGTCCATAGAAAAATTTCCCTATGGACACTCAAAAAAGTAGCATACACATTATCTCCGACCCAGATTAAACCATGATCGGACCTCGGAAGTGCTTACAACATCCCGCCAATATACCGGCAACTAATAGGCAATAGTTGGTGCACTTCCGGCAATCAAATGGGTCAGGCCAAGATAATACATATGCACCTCCAATTCTAGATACAAAAAATATGTGGCACAAATGCATATATATTGGGTTCCGGAAACATTCCCAGAACATTCCCGTCACTATCCCGTAACTATGTGAGGGTGTTCGGACGCCGAACAGGATCACGTGACCGGCGCAGTAAGGCGCAGTCAAAAATCGCTCTATAAATTCGGCCAGTTCTTTAGACATAATATTTCGGCATCCAAGCTGGCAAACTACCAGTTCCCTACCAGTTCCATGGCAGTTCCACAGTAGCTACCAGGTCACTACCATGGCACCAAGTTGGAACCTCAAATCATGTGTCTAAAAGATCGGCCGAAATTATGGCATAGTGCCGGCCGAAATTAATCGCGGATCTAGATCGAATTACTGCGCCACCCGACGTGATATTTTTTTTACCATATTTCGGCATTCTGGCAGGCAACAAAATAGGTAAAGAAGGAAAGCACCCTCGACACCTTAACAGGCAACCAAAGAGACCCAGAAGCAGGTAAACAAATAAATAGCTCTTTATTAATAAAATGAGCACAGACCATTGAAAATAAGCAGATAGTTAGAAGGTAATAAAAAAGTAATAGAGCAATAAAATCAAATAAATATCTACAAAGCAATAAAAAAGCTACAAAATAATAAAATCAAGTAGATAGCAATAAAGCAATAAAAAAGGCCATAGAGCACGAAAACAAGAAAGTAGGTAACATTATACCCATAAGTAGGTAACATTATATAGCAAGTAGTTAACAGTCTATTAGACTGTTAACTACTAAATTTTTCCTATAAAAAAATTAGTTATTACCATTCTAAAGAAAAAAGAAAAAAGATGAAAGAAAAAGAAAAAACTTACTTCAAGGGAAGCTAAAACTTTCTTGAGAAAAAAATATTAAAGGACAGTTAGTACTGTTTAAAGAAAAAAAGTATGATAACGAAAAGAGAAGAAAAAAAGCCTTCCATCAAGTAAGATATAAACTTATTTAGAAAAAAAATTTTTAAAGTTTAGTACTGTTCATAAAGAAAAAAGAAAAGAAAGATGAGTAAAAAAAAATAACCCTACTTTAAGGCTATCTCACAAACCTAGGAAAAAAAATTAAAGAACAATTTTAATATCAATATAAAAAAAAAAGAGATAAAAAAAAAACTTACTTCAAAGGTTGTAAGTATCAAACGTTATCCCAATTTTTTTTTTCTGAAGTATTCAGTATAATAATTAAAAAAAAAAAGAATTATAAATTTAACGGATTATTTCAGATTTTATTGATTTTATTAATGAATTATCCAGATCATCTGTCAGATTATTCGTGATCTGACCGAAATTCATCTGGATCATCCAGATGGAATTCGAATTGGATAAATCTGCGGATTGATGAATTGATGGATTAACAGATCGCAACACTATCACCATGTCTTCTGGCATAATCAATAGCTTGATCTATCTCATTATTATTAGAAGAAACATAAACGAAATGTACAGATAATATGTTTTAAGGTAGATATTCAACCTTTTTTGGATCAGATATTAACATCAACTTCTCTCTTATAAATTCTTGCTTTGGAGTATATTCTTCATCATTAAGATATAAAATAATAGCAATATTGGTATTTTAAATAAATATTTAAAGTAAAAATATAAATATAAAATAATAATAAAAATAAAGGAAAATATAAAATAAATTAAAAAAATTAAATAAGTAATTTTTATAAAGAGTATGATATTATTAAAGTTTACTAATAATAATAATTTAATACTACTAGTATTATAATATACTTTTAGCTAAAATTAAAAATCTAATAAAATACTTGCTAGTATTATCATTATATTATAAATTTATTACTATAATTATAATAAATATATAATATTATATAAACTTTTTTTTTAAAAAAAGTATTTTTTATATAAAATATCATATTAAATATATAATAAATAAATTTTTTAATTTTTCTTTTAATTTATTTTATTAAAATAGTATTTTATTAAGAATTAAAACTTTATATAAATATAAAAATAATTCTAATATAATATTTTATTAATATTTTATTTAATTAATTAAAAGTATATAAAATTATATTATTGCTAATTTTCTTTTCAGATGAAGATCACCTATAAAGGTGATTTCACCTAGGTAATTTTATTTATGATTAATTTATTAAATTTATTAAATTTAATTGGTGTAAATTTTAATATTCTTATTTTATAATTTGCATATAAATCCTCTATAAATTTTTAAAATTTTTAATATTTTTACACTAAAAGTTTATAGCAATTTATTAATTTTTAATAGATTATATGAATTATTGATTAAAAAAAACATACTTATACTATCCAAAATACTAAATTTTTTGATAGAAATAACAAAAAAATGAGTCATAAGGCTTGAATTTAATATATAAAAATAATATCATATTATAAATTATGAAATATAATACAATTAATTTAAAAGTAAAATCACTGATAATTAAAAATTATTAAAATTACTATGTAGTAATTATTAAAATTCAATTTTACTAGTAAAGACTATACTTTTCGGTAAAATTAAAAGGATTTTGTCAAAAATATTATGTCATTAGCAAAATCAATTATATTAGTTATAATTATCATTAATAAAATATATAAATTACTATAAATTATGACATTATATTATGTTTATTAATAATTTAAAAAATCAATTCTGCTGATAAGTACAGTCAACCCTTGTTATAACGAACCCTAGGTTCCAGACCTCAACTTTGCTATAGGGCTATAGTGAAGATTTTAAGAGATTTGATTGGTTAATTCGTTATAGCAAGGGGAAATTTATTATAGTTGTCTGAAAAATTCACTATATCAAGGGTTTGCTATATCAAGGTTTGACTGTATAATAGAAATAATTAAATAAATCTTTATTTGCAATTTAAATTTATAATATTTAACAATTTATAAGTAATTTTTATATCCTTAATTATTTAAATTAATATTTATAAAATTAATGCACTTTCTCAAATTCATAATAAGAATGCAATTCATAGAGATTTACATGATTCTGAAAAATCAAGAATTTTTAAATATAAATAAATTCATGCTGGCAGAAGAAATTAATAATTTATAGATTTTTTGCACCAAAATTTTATATTATTTAACAACTTTAAAGCATAATTCCCTATAAAAAATTTTTTAGAAAAATGATTCAGTTATATATCTGAAATTCTTTGAAATAAAAATTAGAGAAAATAATTATTTATCAGAGTTTTTCCAGAATTTTGTTTTTTATAAGGATTTTGGTAATTTAATTAAATGAAATTATATTTAATAATCTAAGTAAAATTATTCATAAGATATATTTAATAATACTAATTACATAATTTTACTTTTTTTTCTATTTAAATGAATAGTTTAAAGATACTTTTTTTAAGATTTCTTTTTTATAGTATTTTTATAAATTAAAGTAACTTTCTTTATTAATAAAACTTAAATAACAATAAATAGAAAGTAATTATTATAATATCTTTTAAAATGATATATATAGATTATATAATTATGTAATATAATAGTACCTTTCGTCCTTTCGTAGTAAAAATATAGTAAATGAATAGTTATTACTTATTATATATTAAGAAAATTAAAGGATTAGGTTTTATTAACTTTTACATTTGCTTTAGTTTTAGTCAATATGTCGATAATCCATCGTTTGAGAATGATTTATAATATAGAAATATTATAGTCACGGTACTAAATTGATTTCTTAATCAAATGACATATTTTGTTATTCGCTTTACTTATAATGCTTTGATACCTAGAATCAATTACTTTAATTACTTTGAATTTATAATAACGTAACTTATGACCACATTTAATATAGTTTAAATAATTTCAAGACTTTTTTTAAACGTGATTTGATTCCTATTTTCCTTCATCAGTTAAAAAGTGTTACAGAAAACGAGAACTTTAAAGAAGATTATGTTATGTAATTTTATGTAAAATGCGGAATATTTCTGCTGTAAGTACCTTTAAAATCACCTAACGCAACTAAAAAAAACAGAGATCATTTGGTTCATCTTGCTAAATGATAATCAAGCAACGTTTAAAATCATGGGGAAAATTCCAAAAGGTCTTGGTGCAAATGGATTCAATTTTACTCAATTTCGTATAATAATGCTCATAATAAATATTCTTTGTTTATACTTTTTTTGATGAATAAAGAAAAATTGTTTAACATAATATTCTCTATGATCAGAGCTGGATTTAATCCATCTCACTTTATTATAATATTTATGGTTTAACCTTGAAAAATCATCTTGAATTATAAATTGAAACTAAAAATATAAATTAAATAAATAAATAAAATTATAACAGATAATATAATAAAGGGGCATAGAAAATTTCTTGATAGAAGATTTCTATTATATCATAGTTTACATCATAGTGAATATATTATAACTGAATATATGTTATACTTTATCAATTTATCAAATTATAACATAATCCCCATAATCCCCCTTTTTTATTTTGTTATTCGGAGAATCGGGAACGGAATCGGGAGCGGAATTATAAATCATGGCTATATTTACGCGTACTAATAAAAAATATTTGTCATCAGAATTACGATATCACCAATCGAAAAAAGATTTGATGGATGTTTTGAGACTTGAAAAGAAATTATTTCAGCAATATTATTATTATTATTGACAAATAAAATAAAAGTATAGTATTCAGTTTTAATTTTTTTAATTGAGAATAAAAAAAAAAAAAAAAAAAATTTTAATGTTTGCATATGTAACAACATAACTTGGCATTATTTTGATTATTTATTCTTTTAAATAAAAGTTGACTTATTTAGTTAGTAGGACCCCAATAAAATTCAAATGAACAATCAAAATTCGGTAGAACAAAAAAGAGTTGGCAAAAAAAATTGGGTAGTAAGGAAATGATTTACATTAACTGTGCGAACACGTGTTGAGTTGACATTGGGAACTTTTTTTGAAAATTTCCCTTCGTTCATAACAACAATGGAAAATTCAGAAGAATTTCCAAAAGTAGAAATGCCAAGTAAGGACCTATTTTTCTAGAACGAAAACGTAAGTTTGTGTAAATGTGTACGTAATAACCGTGGTTACCGTGCGAAATTAAAAGAACAGACCATTTAATAGTGATAATAAATATAAATCAAGTTCCAGATCCTGTCGATAAACTTGCATGGCGGAATAAATTTTAAATGGGTAGTAAATATTGATCAGTGATCAGATATATGATTTAATGCGCCACTTTAATAATAATATAGTTATAATGGGTTCATTATACACTTTCTACAAACCGAATTTATAATGTATGGGTATCAAGGTAATAATACCTTTAAAGAATTTGGGATATTTGAACAATATCAAAGGCGTTTTCGGGTCTCACCGATTTTATTATGGCGTATTAACATAATAAAAAATTTTTTCGGATGATCCTTATACAAACTACTATGAATATCCAATTGTTTCACGAAAAAAAAAAAAAAATAAAAATTTCTTAGCTTTTGTTCCTTTTTGATGATTGATTATCGAAAAAATCTATTACTGTAATTGGAAAAGGGTCACGGGTTAATTATATCTAGATATAGTACCTTTTATTTTACCGCGTTTGGATTGTCATTTTCGTGGCGCAGTAATTCATCAAAAAAAAAAAAAATCTATTTTATTTTTTTTTTATCTGAATCTATTCATAATAAAACGAAAGAATTTAGCGAAATTTATTTAACATTCATAGGAATTTTATTAAAAGTAACAAATCTTAGAAGAAATCATAAAAACAAAATCTTATGTAAAATTTATGTAAAATAAAGAAAAAAAATTTCTCATCGTTCATAAAAAATAAAAAGAGGGAGGGGGTTAGGGGAATTTTTGTCGACAATATTAATTCGAAAATAATAAAGGAGAAAATTACTCTCGGGTAATTTCAAAGAAATCGAACTTTAAAAATAAAAAAAAAATACTTAATGAATAAGATAAAAAAAATATTTATCTATTATCTCTAATTTTCAATTGAAAAAAAAAACCTCAGATAATGATCTATTGTTGAGTCTCAAGTTTCAAGAATTGAGATCCTTCATCAAATTCCGATTTAATGATATTTAAATTAGAAGATTCTGTAGATGCCGTGGTCATGATCGTATTAGTTACAACCATTACCAAATTTTGTAAATCACTTATAGTCATTCTCGAGAAATCTAATGAATTAAAAGTTTTATTTCTAGTGGCTAATGATGAAGGATGACTATTCTAGAAGAAGAGAAGGAAGAAGAAACGTTAAAATATTTATAATATTTATAAAAAAATTGATTATTAATTAAAAAAAAATACTCACCTGACTGATTTCATCAGTAACTTTTTTTAGATTTCTAACCAATTCTTCAATTCTATCCATTTTAGAATTGATAATTTTCGCAATATTTGCTGATTCTTTACATTTGGAACAATGTTTCTTTCTTTCTGTTGTAGGAACTTGCGAATTTACCATATTAATATCATTAGTACTTTCTTCTGTTTCATTAATACTTACAATGGTTGAAGAGCTTGAAGTTTCTGTCACGGTAGAAGCTTGTTGACGAAGTTGTTGAGTTTGAGATCTCGTTGAATAAGGAATTGTATAAGGTTCATTTTTATTTGATGATTCTTTAACAATTTTATTACGTATAGGACGACCAGTTCTTCGAGAACGTTTTTTGGTTACTGGTGTAGTTTCATCACCAATTGAAGGATTATTCGTGGCTGTTAAAGGTATAGATTCATGATTATTATTAAGAAGGGAATTTATGGAAGAAGTGATATTTTCTTCTTTTCCATTATTATTAATAGAACCAGGAATTGAAATAGAAGGAAATGACTGTTGAATACTTTCTTGATTCATTTGGTCGGACATTATACGTAAATAATTACAAAAAAGGAATTTTTTTTTTTTTTATTTATTTATAAAAAAGGACTTTTTTTTAAATTATTAAATTTTTGAGAAAAAAGGAAGAATCATAAAAATAAAAAAAACTTGATTTTTTTCTTCTTTAAACCCGTATTTTTTTTTTTTTATACTTGTATACTTGTAACTATAATTGACACATAATGAATGATTGATTAATAAAATAATTAATAATAAAGCATTTATAAAAAAAATATATATATATAATATATAATATATAATATATAATATATATATATATTTATATCACAACATTTATATTTTTTACAATAACAAAATAACAATATAATCTGTCTCTTATACACATCTAGATGTGTATAAGAGACAGATAATATATAATATATAATATATATATATTTATATCACAACATTTATATTTTTTACAATAACAAAATAACAATATAATAATATATTTATTTCTTATTTTTTTTTACCTTGACAAAAAAAAAAAAACTATATTTATAACATATAATAATTTATAACCAAAAGGTTATAAAAAAAAAAAGAAATTTAAATTTTAATGAAAAAACTTTTTATTATATACTTGCCGGACTTGAAAGTCCGATCTGGGCGTCCACGTGTTGTTATTTTAAATTTACCATTTTACTAAAATTGACAATTTGGATGGTAATTATCTGTCTCTTATACACATCTAGATGTGTATAAGAGACAGACACCAGATTATTTTATTCTGTTCTTTTTTGGGTAATAAATCAAAGAGAATTGTGATCAACAAAGATAATTATATAAATAGTTATAATAATGTCAAATTAAGGATAAATGATGTACTACTACTTTTACTCTTATCTTAAAAAGTTTCTACGTAGAAAAATTAAAAATTTAAAAATAACATTTTTTTCTTTTATTAGGGGCATAAATATAATATAAATATAATTTTTTTTATGCGTACACAGTAAAAAGTACTGTATTATTGACAAAATCCTCGTGTTACAGCCGATCATTTCCGTATTTGTCTATGGCAATGAAATAAAGAGTTTTATTTTTAGAAGCAAGGTTTTCTTTTTAATTAGGCGTAAATAGAATGTACTTATGTCTAAATAAATCTAATGAAAGATATCAGAAAAGTTATAAACCAAGATTTAAACAGTAATTTATATAGGGATAAATATCCACTTGGCGTATTCTTTAATCACACCTAAATGATCATTTGAAACTCATTTAGTTTCATATTATAAAGCGCGTAAATTTCTAAGCCGGTAAAAATCATAAATATTAGTAAGATTATTTCAAAAAAATTTGCCACTTCCGATTTTGAACTACATAAACGTACAATACAATCAACGTTTCTTTTATGGGATACAATGATTAAAATGCCGATATTAGTTACGCAGTGATTTAATACTTTAATACGTAGTTTTGGCACGTGATTCTATTTTAAACTAAGTGCCTTTGTATTTATTTTTTTTTGTAAAAAAATAAAAATATTTAAATTGAAACTTAAAAGGATATAAACTTAAAATAAATCTTGTAAGTAGGTCATATGTTATTTAGACAAGAAAAAGAATTTTCTTAGAAAATAAAGGGAGAAAAGAGAAATTGCCATAAATTCTATGAACGAAGAGAAATTTAACGAAGGAAATAAATTCTTGGGAAAAAAAGCTATAAAAACAAAAAAGAAAAAGAAAAAATAAAGAAAGAAAAGAATATAACAAATGAAAATTTTTCGTTCGTACTTAATATCTAATAAAAAAAAATCGATTTCGAATTGTTCATATATATATATATATATATATATATATAAAAGGAATTAATAAAAGTTATAAAACCAAAATTTTTAAAATTTTTAACCGATTTTGCCAGCAAAACAAAAAGAATTTCTTAATTTTTTTGCATAATTTTTTTTTTCGATTTTTTTTTTTTTTTACTTTTAATTGAACATATGAAGAGCGTTAGGTCTAACCACAGGTACACAACCTCCTTTGTTCGAAATCATAGTGTTTGTTATGATTGATACGATATTTTGTAAATCTTCCAAACTATGGTTTGAAAAATTATTAAACGATGTATTTGAAAAAGTTTGAATCGGAGAGGGAGCGGGAGTTAATAACTGTGAAGGTTGAGTTAAGAAAATTTGAGGAATTGGGGAAGGAGGTTGTTGAGGTTGTTGAGATTGCTGCTATTTTGAAGAAATTGTTAGAAAAATGTAAAATAACAAAAACAAACAACAAACAGTTAAAAAAAAATCTAAAATACCTCAATAATAATGTTATTATTTGTATCAATTACATTATCGGTAGATTTTGCGATACCTTTAACTAATTCTTCTATTCTATTAATCTTAGAATAAAGTAATTTAACACATCTATTCGATTCTTTACATCGTGCACAAGTTTTTTTAATAGTGGGCTTAATTTCAAATCCTTCATCATCATGAATTTTTTCTTCATTAGAATCAACGGCTTGAATTGAAGGAATATTGATTTGAGTAGAAGAAGGAAACGAATGATTCACTCTATAACTTGGAGTGATCTTTGTTCTTTGAGCTCCTAAATTCTTGCGAGTCGGATAAACGAGTTTTTGCGTATTTCTCGCATTATATTTAATAGGAATTGGTTTAGACATAATTCTATCAAAAATTTCGATTGTTTTTTTTACGTGTTTTTAATACAAAGAACGCGTATATATATATATTTTTTTTATTTCTAAAAAAAAAATATTTTTTTTTTTGTGTATTAAAAAAAAGGAAATTTGATTCTTTTTTTCTTAAAAAAAAAAAAAAACTAATTTATATATATATTTTTTTTACGGTTACTAAAATTGATTGTTCTTTGGTGAAACTCATCGGAGCTGCGAATCCGCCTTATTGTAAAGTTTAGCCACATTTGTGTTAACGCAGTCAATTACAATTGGATATCGGATTCACTTAAATAGGAATACGTATTTCCTTCTTCATAAAGATACACCTAAATTATTTGTTTATTATTAAATTTCTAATTATACTCCTTAATATACATATATATATATATAACGTCGTCTGTCACGTCGTCTCCTGATAATTTTTACCCCTTTAAGGAAAATGAACGAAACAAAGTACTTTTTGTCAACTAAGGAACGGTAACTTCATGATTTGATCGTTTCATTTAAAGAAAAAGACCTTTGTGTGGCTTTGTTTTAATTAAGTCGGAAACCTTATTCATGTCCCAAAATGGTGAATTTGTACCTAATTAACGAATTTGGAAATTGTGCACATGATCGATAAAGAAAGTAAATTCTAGATCAAAAATTCTTATTTCTTTTAAAAAGAGAATACTGAAGACTTACGGATAAATCCGCAATAAAAGCATACGAGGGGTAAAGAGTCCGAGATATTCCGGGTATTCCCGTTTATAAATTTCTCGAAATATTTAACAAAAGTACGGAAAGTTTCTAATTAAGTAAATCATTGGGAAATATAAACAGTTGTGTATGTGTATATATTATGTCTCATGACCAAATCTCTTTTTAATGAGACTTTTTTTATTATTCTAAATTAGTAGTAAAAGATTATCTGTTTACAAAAGAAAAGTATCTTTTTAAAAAATATATATATATAATGTTTATTATAATATCATTATTAAAATTCCTTTTTTGTTTATGTTCATTTTTTTTTTAAATAAGGCATTCTAATATCCTTTTATATAAATAAATAATGATCGTTTATAATTAAATTGTTATTTATTTAAAACTGGGAAAATCTTTACAATAAATTCTGGATAAACATTTCCTTTTTATTTGTTTATTCATATCTGGGAATAATATAATAAGAAACGGTTCTTTTCAATATGAATTACTAATATCTTTCTTTTGCTTGATGCAAAATTATATCATTATTTTTAATAAGAGAAACAAACAAAAAATTAAATAATATAATAATGCGAGTCAAATTAAAAATCATTTGAATATCAACTCCTCTTTCTATAAACCCTAAATTATTGTACAACATTTTTATTGATTTTTATTTTTTTTTTTATTTTTTTTTTTATTTTAAAAAATGAATTTAAGAAATTTATCTATCAATAACTCCGAGAGAAGTGTCATGACAATCCTTTCTGACTATCATTGGACCGGAGTTCTGGGTTCTGTGCCATTGTTTAAAAAAATTTTTTGTCAATCTTACTAAAAAGCTTTGTAATGTTTGGTAGAATTATCGTATAACAAATAATTTTTAAAGAATGAGATCAAGTTACATTTAAAATAATTTATTACTCAATTTAATTAGTAAAAAAAAAAAAAAACTGGCATTGCTTGCATGTTTATTTATCATTACCTAATTTAATTAGGAATTAATTATTACGTAGACTTGATTTGATTTCTATTTTCTATTTTATTCTGATTCTGATTCTATTTAAAAATAATTGTTACTTTAAACAAATAAACTTAGTTTTCATTCATTAATATTAAAGGAAATAATGTAACTTATTGTCTATTGTTGTTCATCAATTGTAAAGAATTTTTTGACTAATAAAGATTTAATCACTTTGTATTAATTATTATTACTGTCGTTGCAAATAACAAATATAATAATAATTAACTAAAAATGGGGTTATAATTTTTTATCATCCGATGCTTTTTATTATTGTTGAAATTCCTGATAAAGTTATTTTCAAAAAAAACGAAATCATTTGAATTTAATGCTAAAATGTAATTATGTGGCGTGATTACAGAACGATATATGCAGATCCTTCATTCCTCTATTAATACGAAAAAAAATTATAATTATACGAATTTCGAATTGTCAAGTTTGCATTATTGATACTTATTGATTGTCATAAAAAAAAAAAAAAAAAAAATGCGGGAAGGTTGCATAAATTTCATGTTTAATACAGATCAACTATTCCAAATTTTACATATAGAATCAAATTATCAATAAGTATAAGGCTAGGTTTTTTTTTTAAAAATCTAAAATTAATTCTTTTAATTTTTTAGCTTTAATTCCAATTTTACATTAAATTTTATACATTTTTAGTTAAAAATTTTTTTTTATTATTTTTTAAATAAATTTCAAAAACTTTACCTTTTTAAGATTAATATTATTATTAAAGTATTTTAACATTATAATTTATTTTATTAAAGTATTTTATATTATTAAATTTATTTTTAAATATAATCTTAATACTATAATTTATGATATTATTAAATTTATTTTTAAATATAATCTTAATACTATAATTTATGATATTTTTATAAATTAATTATTTTATAATAAAATTTATAAAATTTATATACTGTAAAAAAAGAGTAAATTAAAAATAAATTTTAAAAAATTAAAAAAATAATTCTTTATTTCTAATTATCAGTAATTTAACTTAAATAGTTTTTTTTAAAAAAAAAAAAATTATGAAATTCAATTTTTTTTATAAAAAAAGGTTAACAATTTGTATTGATTTTTAATAAAAATTAATTATAAAATGTTTGAAAAAATAAAAAATTCAGTTAAAGTTAAAATTTAAATATCTTTTATTTATATTTATCCTTATATTTCATATATTATATATTATATAGTTATTCATACTAGATAATTAAAAAAAAAAAAAGGTAAAATTATTAATTATCATTAGATTCCTCTTATTAAAAGGAATTTAATAATATGAATCTTATTAAATTTAAATTATTTAATTAGTTTAAAAATAGGATTATATAATTTAAATTTTTAAAATATAATCAATAAGTAAATATAGATAGAATCCTAAGTAATATTTTAGATTGCATATTTAGTAAAGCTACTGGTTAAGTAATGACCATTGACCAATATAAAAATTTGGGTTAAAATTATAATAAATAAAATTATTATTTTAAATAAAGAAGCCTTAATTCAAACTGAATATTTGATCTTTTTATGGTGAATATATACTATATACAACCTTTGAGTATAAAAGGGTGGCAAATTGATTAATCTGTTAATGTTACTTTGCCCATAAAAAGTGTAATGCTTGAAAAGAATAAAGAAAACAGTGCATATCCAACTAATCAACTTAGAGTGAAGGTATGTTTTCTTTAGTATATTACAGTAAAGTTTTTTTTAGTAGGTGGTGATTAATATGACCCAAATAAAATTGGGCGAAGCTGAATAAAAGGGTAGCTAAATAAATTTAATCTTCATGCGTCTTCATCGTTATTTTAAGAAATTTCACGCGAAAAATACTACATCAAGTATCACTTATCGAAGTGCATCAACGGCAGGTTATTTTTATACGCGCAGAGCGCATATTATTCATAAAGTATTGTGCGCAACATATGAAGTCATATGCGCTCTTATATATAATAGTAAGCGCCATTATGATCACGCTTGTCTACTTTCAATCTCGTGCGCGGAAATTTAAAACGATGTACGCGCCCAGCGTACATCTTTTTAAAAACTCCGCACATAATCACGCACACAAAAACTTGCACTTATATTTTCCGCACATTGTACACAATGTTGCGCATAAAAATTTCAAATCACGTGCGCACTCCGCAACATGATTTTCCCCAACAACTACTGGTTGCGCCAACTGCGCGAATCCAATTTCCATCACTGAATTGCTATCAGAACATATATTTTAGGTAAATTTTAATAAATAATTTAAATACATATATTACATACATCTTATAATATATATACAAATAAGAAAACCAAAAAGCTTATTCTTTCATCACATTCTTTCATTGCATTACTTTTTAAAGTCAACCAGGTTCAATCAGCCCTGCCAAGAAATATTATTTCCGCTAGGACCTGCCGTAACAGGTTGAGTATCAAAATTAGTACCACTCGGCTCAATATAGTTACCACCCACTCCACTTCCTTCAGTAACATCCTGTTCCTCTTTATTCTTCCCTTTTCCTTTTTCTTTACCACTGCCAATATCCCACCATTTATTAAAAATTTCGTTGACTCCAATTAAATAGCTTCCCCTACTACTATGGCCCTGATAATCATCATCTGTCGAATCAGAAGAATAATGATCACGTATACTTCTATAACAATCATATGATCTACCGATTATATTAGTTGTTATTATTAATGAACAGGTTATTAATGTTAATAATGGCACAAATTTATAATCTATTACTAATTTTAAATAGAGTATCTACGAAATACGAGAAAAACATAATTAGTTTACATATACATAAGAGTTTGTAGTACATAAAAAGTGTACTTACTTGGATCACTAATTGAGGTAAATCTTCCACTAGTAAGATAGCCAAACTACCCAAATAAATGGTTCTATCGGCTAAATCATCAAAAGGTGCACTTAATTTTTGAAAATTTGCCAAATTAGAACTTAATAATTCCAGTGATACTAAATCAATATAACCAAGTACAAGAAGTATTGTTGTCGAAAATGAATTCTCACGTGCAAAATTAGCAAATAAAGGGTTACTATAATATTCTCTCAAAAATATGAACATTGTTATAAAAAAATTTATTGATAAAGGTGCTAATAATAAAATAATGCTATTGATATGAGGAATATAACAGTTAGTTTCAGTCGAATATTAGAAACATAAATGATTCATTTTAGTAGTATTAAATACCTTGGTAAATATAATGTTTGTACATCACGACCATTATAAAATAAAAAGATTATATCCATAATAAAATCTACAAATATCACAACAAATTTGAATAGTGACATACTAGGTATACCATTCTAAAAGATGAAGTTTAAATATAAGTATATTTTAGATTATTTTAAAGTTTATAAACTAATGGAGTTTATTACCTTAGGATCCGTAGGATTAATATTGTGAGCTAGGAATACCAGCACAAATAGTACAAATATAGCACAAATGATTCCCGCTATTTCATATCTATATGCAGGCCACACACTTACTAAATAATTTAAAAAGTAACAATTAGAATATAATTAATCGTTTCTACTAATATTTTCTCTTCTTACCTATTTCCTTCGCACCATAACTAGAATCTAAAAAACTAGTAGCATTTCTAGGACCATTTAATTTAGTAACAAATTTATTTCTAACTAAAGTATCAATATTATTAAGAATTTGTTCGGTATTCATGTCTTCTTTATTTCTAGTGGCTTTTAATTGAATTTTTATTAATATCGGTAAATCATCTCTTATGCCTTCAAATTGATATCGTTTTGATGTACGTAATCTTTCCAATGGTACTGGGATCGATTGTGAAAACGAAAGCAATAAATTATCAAAAAACCCATCCCTTTCTAACGATGTCAATTCTTGAAATAATCGTGTTCCCGTCGCATTCAACCGTAACAATACATTCTTATCATCCGTAAATTTTTGCTCTTCTGGCAAACCAGTTTTAACCGTCCAAACACCACTTTCAATACCCATTAAAGGTTCATTAAAATCTTGACTCCTAACAAAATTATCATCAACTATAATATAATAATTAGAATTTAATTGATTAAACGTTGATGATAATATTATTACTTCTACTTCTGTATTATTTGTATCGTTAACATATTGTACATATTGAGGTGATAATGCTGAAAATGTTTGTCTTAATAAATCGGTATTAATTGTTGTAGAATTAAGAGCAGATTGGTATACTGATATGAATCCTGTTGATAATATTACTGGATTTTTATATTTTATTATAATGTTTTTTGTGTCTGTTGGTATCGTTGCGTTAATTGGTGGCACAGTACTCGATATTTGTTTATTTTCATATCCATCTCCTATTACGCAAAGGAAATTAGTACTCTAGTTAAGACTTAATGAATTGTTTTAGATAAATAAATATTTATTTCTCTTACCATTATTGACTTCATTTTTATGTATATCATTACTTATAATGTACCAAAATGTACCCAAATTATCTTCTCCTGGTACAGCAGTCCATATTGTATTATTATTTAATACATCATATTTTGCTCTCAATATTTGCGGAATTCCCCAATCATCTCCTTTAACAACCGCCCCTTCCGTAATGTTATACAAACTCCCTTGCAAATTTGAGTTATCTTGTCTGACACCAATCATACAAAATCCATAATGAGTTAGTGGAAGTACATCATTGTAAATAATAGCGACATTTCTATTTGTTTCAAATCTAATTTCATAATTAGATAATTCTTTATAAGATAGTATAGATCCTACGCTTAAAAAATTTATAATTCTCCAAAAATATTGCAATTGCGGTTGCAATTGCCATGTTACAATAATAAAACATGTATAACCTGCTGATGATGTATCTATTGAAGAAGTGCATAATTTTATGGTTATATTTGCATTAGCTAATAATGTTTCATAAATTACTGTTGGTGGTGTCCAAGTAAGTGCTGATTCATGGAGGAATGTGATGTAGACCTGTGAATGTGAGGAGATTGATGTTGGTGTACTCTCTGGTTGAGAATCTATTGAGTGAATGGAATATGCTAATCCAAATCCACCATCTAATGTTCCAAATGTTTGAAATGAAACTATTCTATACTGTTCTGATGATGGCACCACAGGCGTAATAACCCCCTCTGACATATTAGACAATCTCCTTCTAAAGTATGTAAAAAAATTACTAAATAAAAAAAAAGTGATCATCAAAGAAAAATTTTAAAAGTAAGTTCCACATTACCCTATATGATCCCAATCAAATTTTCTCCAATTTATACTAAGATTATTATATGTTATTGTAAATAATAATGCCCCACTTTCCGTATCAGAGTTTGCTTGGTTTGTCTTAATTGTTATTTTTGATAAATATGGAAATGATGATATACTCTTTATATCCAAACTCATTATGTCGCTCAATTCCACTTCACTATATATTTTACATGAGAAAAGTGTGTCAAGTTTGTAAGAGTTTTTTTAACTATTAAAAAAAACTTCACAGGAAAGTGAAATAGATCACCATACTTACGGTTCAATTATTGTTCCATCTAACGTTGTAGTCATACCCATAAATCTTACTTGATTGATGGCTTCCTCCCTCAAATAACTTATAAACAGAATGTTATCTGGATATAGTCGAAATTAATGATATTAATCATTAATGAAACTCGATCAATAATCATTTAATTATTCACTCACCAGGTAAAGCAAATAAACTTATTCTATCAAGAGGACAAAAATTATATACTGAAAACGAATCACTATAAAATACAGTTGAACTTTGTATAGTTCCATTAGGGTACAATGATCTCAACGAGAACAAGTTCAATGAATTCGGACCTCCTCCTTGAGGACAATTGGTTGTTAAACGAGTGGTTAATATTGAAGATTTCTGAAAAGTTACTGTATCAACTGGATACAATGGTACACCTGATGAATTGTCATCTAGTTTTATCGTGCGAGCTGAATAAATGCTATTAGCGAAGAAGGTGAGAAGTACAGTTATAAATAGAAATGTTATTTTAATGTATGAAATTATTTGACGCGTCATTGATTTATTTAAATTGATTATTATTTATTCGTTTTTTCTACTTTTTTCATTAATAAATCATTAGCCTATTTACAAAGAAAGTATTTTGTCATAAATATAAACTATTAAAGTTCTATTGTCTATACACGAAGAGTTTCGACAAAAGAAAAGAAAATTATTGTAAAAGCCTCAACTATTTATAATTTACAAAAGTTACACTAAATATTTAAAAAAAAATGCCACCTGGGCGTGCCTCTCTTCATTTCATTTTTGTACAAATCCGTCTTTCAGCTTCTTCTTTACACTCCTTTTTATTATATTTAATGAGCTGTGGCTCATATTATCCGAATTTTTTTTTTTTTTTTAAAAAAAAAGGATGAAATATCATGAAAACTTTATTAGGTTAAAAAGTGAATTGATCGGTCGAATATTTTAATGGTATACATATTGTGAGCATACATTAAATTCATTCAGGCTGTGTTTGTAATTATAAATTTTGAAGTTCGCTTGTTGACGGAAATGATGAAATAAAGAATAAACTGGTCTTGTAAATCGACAATTGTGTAATAATTTTATACTGTATATATTATACAGTAACGTGAAATAAAAATCTAATTGGCTGGATTTTACTCTTAAAAAATCGCCGCAGCTCTCTATCCGTGAATTACTATTGGTGCATCTAAGAAGGAAAAAGAAAGCGTTATTGGAATTTAAATTCTAAATTATTAGTTTCTCCATGATTATTTGGAGAGATGAAAAATGAAATATTAATGAAGCTTTAAAATGGTTAACGAAATCAGCAGAAAACGGAAATGTTAATATCCAAATACTTATGGGACAATTACAAAGAAAACAAGGAATCCATCAAATTATTTTTAACGAACAAGAAAATTCATGACTGAAAAAATATTTACTTTAGTAAATACTTATTAAAGTAAAGAATATTTCATTCTAAAGTAATAAGTAAAGTAGAATAATACTACCAAATTATGCTTACTACATGAACTAAAAGAGTAGAATTATATCAAATTATTCTTATTACGAATCTTGTAAAGGAACATACAGAAGCGTCTTAAAAGATTGGCACAAAAATGCTTTATGTTTAAGAATATCAGAAGACAACCTAAATATTATCCCTTAAATGGTTTCCAGGTAAATTTAACTGGAAATTTCAAAAGGCGATAAACATTACATGCTAACGCTCCTAGATGTTTTAATGTTCCTTAATTATCGTTTAAGGATACTCAAAGTAGAAATCGTAGAGTAAATGCAGAATAGTAACACGAAATTTATTGGTTCAATAGATAAGTACGAGGATAGTGAGGCAGTTGGGTATGTTAATATTGTATATTATTTATTAGAATGAAATTTACATTTACTGGCGCTATTCCTTTATGTATATTTGTATGAAAACACACCTACAACTATATGATTATTTTTAGTATCAAATTACTTATGCTGAACCTTGATATGAAAATATCGGATTACCCTATTACCCTTCAGATACGTGCTAATCAGAGTCTCACATCAACTACTAGTGAAGGAAATAGTTGTTTTTGTTGATGATTGGGTGATGATGGTCATTCATTTGTTTATACTTGGTATATTACTATTTTTTACTTTTTTTTGTTTATCTGGAACATTTGCGAAGAAATGTACAGAACACATTTCCTCCTTCAGGCGTTTTCCTTTAAGAGTGTAATGATTAACTACGTTTATAGAACTATTACTGGTGGCTATATCTAGGGTTAGGATTCATACACAAAAAGAACTGAAATCCAACCCACCCTGGCCAGATCACTACTGGAAACTTTACACTAAAACATTGTTACATAGAGAAAGCAGAAATTTCATTTGCTTGATCCATTCTCTTTATTGTGTAAAAAGTTAACTTTTAAGAATAACTATTTAACACGTCAAATATATGCATCCAGGTATACGCGATGAAATATTAGCGTATGTCTGTCTAGCTTATGGAATGCTAGCACTATAAGCATCAAAGGGTACAGTGCAGAAGATTTGTTGCCCGGTATGAGTCATATTCTCATATTAAGTTTGATACAGGCAATGCACATATTCAACGTTGCATAACATCTTGTTGGAAAAAGAGTATTAGACATGCATTCCTGTCACATAGATTTATGTATATACTTCGAATTAATCACAATCATTGATATAACACTATCGAAGCCAACAGAGTTCAAAAGTAATTGGTAAATGTTCTTCGGCTATTTTATCATTGGAACACAAAATTAAAAAAAATGACAAGAATATATTTTAATATATGTCCTGTCATAGATGTTTTAGCTGGTCACTCAAAGATGGACACTAGTATCTGTTGTTAATGTACAACAGACCTTTTACAGTATCAACGGAGGTGATTAAGGATTGGTTAATCCAGGATGTATATAATAAGAATAGTTATTCCAATCAGCTTATAAAATGAGATAATCAAAAAAAACTAATAAATAGGGGGATTAAAGGATTTTGTTATTTATATATTGGCATGTAAAAATAGTACCTTTACATTTTTTTACATGAAGTCATATTCATTAAAAAATGAATAAATAGAAATTACGTATTGTCAGTTTAATAAATAGAGATAGTTATATTAACATTCAATATTTCAATTACACTTGTATATTACACATATTAAACAAAACAAGTTAGTTTCATATCTTTTTAGTACTACTTAGTTTAGCACATTAACTTTTATATTATTACACAGCAATTTGTAGCTGAATATTTAAAGTATTATACATAGAATGCATCAATATAATTTAGTGGAACTTGATATTTCAAAGGAACTCTAGCAGGTTCAGTAAACTACCAAGAGTATAAAGTAAAAAGAAACCAACAGTTTTTATATACAAGTTAAATTTTTCGGATTAGCGAAGCAAATCCTTTTAGAATTCAATGAATTTCCTTTTAAAAGTCTTTATATATTACTGCTTTATAAATGTGAAATGTGTGCCAGCTTAATGGCGCAGGCAGCGCCACAGCCTCCTGTCATATAGTACAACAAATCGTATCATTCGTGTCGCAGACATTATAAATTTTTTTTTTCTCACGCGCTCTTCTCAAGTAGAACGACCTCTTTATCGTTTTTATTTCTTACATAGTTTCTCTTAACGTTTATATAATTAATGGAATTAATATATATGCTTTATATTAAAATCGAAGTATTTTATTCGTTATTTAAATTTTTTAGAAAATTACACAAATAATCATTATGAAAGGCGATATTACCGAAAAAACACCGGTTAGTTAATTATCTAGATTTTTAGAGTATTTATACTTTAGAAAAAATAAAAAAAAAACGCGATTTTTTGGTAAAAGTGATACAATTTATTTGTATTTATTATATTATGTACTGTAGCATGTTTGTGTTTATTTTATTATTAATTTATCATGTATCTTTATTTCGTTAATCATTTGTTGATTTGTCTATAGCGTTGCATTTATTTTTGTTAAAAATCCATTTTGTTATCTTTTTTTTTAAATAATGATACGTTTTTATCATCTTTTATTATTAAATAACATCGTAGAATATTAATTTGTTAAATTTTTATTAATTATCTGTTGTAAAACTTTAATTGTTAAATTTTTAATTGTTAAATTTATCGTGAAGCTTAATTTGTTAGATGATATTGAATTATTATTAAAGAATGACATTAATAAAAAAATTCATTTATAGATCATTTCTTGGGATACTTTAGGTCTATGCCCGAATTTCTAAAACAAATACTTCCCAAAATTATACATATTTAATAAAAACATTTAATGAATTACCATCATTTTGAACTGTTGAAGGTTTTGAAATTCCACAATTTGATTAGGCAAACGAATGGTTTAAAGATTTACGAATCTAGATCGAAACTACAATGCCAGAAACTAAACGCTACGAAATAAAAGAAAAGCGTGTACTTTTTCGAGAAAAACAGCGATATGGTTAAGAAGAAACAAGGAAATCAGGAAACGAAGCGTCCACAATCATCGCGAGCAAAAAATGTTGGATGCACTGCAACGATCCATCTTCGTTTAGAGAGTTGGCGAATTGAGTCACCCACTAGAGATAAATTTAATTCACGCATAATCACGTAGTTAACTCGGCGGAATCATTGAGCTTTTGACGTGTAGACGGAGCAGTTCGTGAAAAATACTTGGACAATGTATGTTGAACTTCACTTTAGCACAACCAACGATCAAGAATTATTAGAACTACTTGCCGACCGAGCAAAAAACCCTGATTACGATTATATTGCGAAGTACAACTCAACTACACCTTTGACTACTACTTCAACCCAATAAATTAAAAACAATGATGACTACAAATTCGGGGAAAAGCAAGATCGCATAAAAACCCAAGGATATTTGTAACCCTCCCAACGAACCAAATAAAAACACAAATAACGCACTGGACGACATCCTATAAATCATCTATTAATTTACAGTATCGTCATAACAAAAACTCATTGCATACATTGCTTTATTCTAGTTAGAAAAATTAGAATGCACTTACAACCAGAAAACATAGACTCGTTAATCAGAAAGTTTGTGGTAATTCTACTACAAAGATTTTTTACGTGAAAATTCAGCCCCAAAAGATATGGTCAGTGTAGTTACCCTTATATTCTGATTTTTGCAACCGGTTCCTACGCAAGATATATTTTACTTAGAATTTATATAGAATTGGTTTTACTGATGGTTCTACAAAATATCGCATCAGATAATTACATGAAATAAACTGTCATGATTATTATTTATTAATTTTTCGTTAATAATTTCTTGGTGTGTTCTATAAAAATCAAAAGATTATCAAATAATCTTTTTTTCACATTAAAATGGATTCACTATTGCCTAACTAAACTAGATCAAGTGTTGAAGCATCAGGAGAACCAGTTGAACTAGTTGAACTAGAGCAACCAGCAATAGCAGAAGAATCAATTACATTAGAAAATAAAAAACTACTATTGACTACATGTGATCGATCATAACTAAGCTGCTAATATGGGTCAATTAATCGAGTTTGATTGACTCGATTAAGAACACTAATAAGAACATTTTCTTTTCAGCCGGATGTTTATACCATTCACAACCCATGCATTGTTTGCACCTCCGACTATCGTTTGTATTGCGTCAAATTCGTCTTAGTCGTCAAAGGTATTAAACCTTTTACCTAACTGCTAATCTTGTCATGGAGAACATCGCCTGAATTTGAACGTGATTGCAAACCATTTCGATTGCAATATCCTTATGAGGATGAACCACTACGATCACAATATTGCCAGGGTGTCCACATTTTGAAGAGGAGGACAGACAACAATCTCAAATACTATATCATCCTCATTTAAAGAGGAGAGAAACTTAAATTCGAATTTCTTATCAAGAATTTCGATTTTGTTATCAAATTTCTTATCGAATTTGTTATCAAGATTCTTGTTTTACTGTCAATTAGGTTGATCATTCCTTTTACGGTATCAATTCGATCTTTGAGTTCACCGTTCATTATTTCAATATCCTAAAAAATAAATTAATGTGAGAGAGATGTCAATCATTTTATACTGTACAAAATCACTTTTTACAAAAAACTATTCTTGCTGATAAATGTACATTCGCTTTTGATGGTGATTGTATAGTATAACGTAGAAAAACTCCAAATATTGCGATAAAATATTCAACTTAACCATAATATTTTACAGCTTTCTTCTAAGATACAAATTTGTTTAATATGTATATTATGGTGCCATGTTATCCACTGCGTTACAAATTCAGGTAGTAGTACACCAATTTATGAAAAACAAGAAAAACAATCAAGTCCAATTTCATTTTTAACGAATGGTAATGATGGTGGGGGTGGGTCACCATCATCCAAGTCAAAAATAAATGGATTGAATGTGTAAAAATATAACCATAATATTTTACAGCTTTCTTCTAAGATACAAATTTGTTTAATATGTATATTATGGTGCCATGTTATCCACTGCGTAAAAATATATCCTTTTCTTACCACCAATTCTTTCGCTACCTTCTTGTTTATCTTCTTTATTGATTTTTTCTTCATCTTCTTCAGTATTTTCTTGTTCATTACCAACCATTTTGATCGTTTATTAAATCAGTTTTTAAAAATGATATGATTTATATACTTATTGATTTACGTTATTAAAAAAGGAGTCTTATTTGTATCACCTAGGAGGTACATATACAGCTCCTTGAGTGATTTGTATGATATCATAATTACTTAAAAGGGCGAAATATTATTTTTAAGATAAGATGATGAAAATTATTGAATTAGAATATAGAATAGATTTTTTTATAACAGAAGAATTTATGTACACTGGTTTTAGTTTCTCCAAAGCACAGCTGGTTTACTCGAGCGGAAAAAACCCTCAGTGTTACTCGCTTGTATTCTGCGGACGTTTTTAAAACACAATCCCTGCACAAGCATCTGCTAGGTATTAAGTTGAAGGTCAGGAAAAAACCCTCATTGTTATTCATCTTGGATGGGCAGAGACGTTATTACCCTTCATTTGGAAGTCTGTCTGCTAATGACCCCCAGTGTCGACCAGGATGGTACGCTTCAACGCCAGCTGTACTTTCTCCCTGCGTCACATAGCATTTGAAGCTTCTATGTTTTTTAATAAAAGATTGACCTCCAGATGAAATTTTCAAGAAATAATAGTAGTCACTTGTATAGAAATATTGTGTATCCGGGCTGGAGTGACAATGTGCTAATATGGATAGTTTAGACGAAAAAAAAGTATAGCATAGAACTTTATCTCACTTTGTAAAACAAGTTTGTGTATAACTTATTTTTTACATCAATAAATCAGTAATTCCGATGAGGATATTACCTCGTTTTCTATCTATTACTATACTAACTCGAACTTTAGAATTATTCCATCTTGTATAAAAAATATTATCAAACATGCAATCTGATATTGATTCGTTGAGAGAAATAAACTCGAAGCTCCTAGCCGAGATTACTGACTTAAGAAGGAGAATGCTGAAGTTAAGGCTGAGAATGTGAAGTTAAAGCATGCTTTGGAAGAACACGAAGCCAGATTCACAAACCTAGAACAGAGAGATAAAGAAAAGACCACCCTTATTGCTAAATTAGATGATGATATCAAGGAAATCAAACAATCTTTAGCTAGTACTAGTTCTAGAACTCCGACATATGTCAACCTATTCGCACAGAAACTAAGACGTTGGAAGAAAGAGAGACGGATGCTTTCTTAAATGAGGTGCATAAGAAAAGACGAAAATAGGAAACGCAATAAAGAGAAGAAACTTCTGCGAGAATCAGCTATCCAGGAGACGCCCTCGATTTCCCAGAATACTACATCTAACTGCTATGAGCGAAAGAACGAGTAGGGCGCTTTGGCTTGTGAAGACTTGATTAAAGAAATATCTACTAGTATCAGCTGTAACGCATCTATCCAGAATCAGCCGAGAGGTACTTCGCATGACTCCATATCTCAAGTAACTGAAATTTCGTTGACCTCGGGTCAGGGAAAATCGGATATCCTACAAAATATAGCTAACTTATATGAAAAAGCTTGTGATGCAGAAGATGTATCGATAAAAGCTAATCAGTCGGAAATTTTATGCTGGAATAATTTTATTATAGCATTTGATAAAAGCATTAATGAAATCATGGCTAGAGATAGAGTAGGTATGAAAAAAGCCAAAGGACTAATTTATGATTTCATACTTGCGCAGAATCCCGACACTAAACGTCCCGCTCTATATAAGAAAATTGAAAGAGCTAGGAAGATTTACAAGTTAACTGAAAAAAATAGGATTAGATAAGATCAAACATATCAAATCATACAGTGCGAACAGTATTTCAAAATTTACCAATGAAGAAATTCAAAGAGTCATAGATCACTTTACCGAAAATCATTTCACTGATGATTCCGAGGACGTAGAACAAGATAACGAGGTCCTAGAGGAACCCGATCAGATTAATGTATTGGAGATCTTGCCTCCAAAGGAATCAACTGCACCTATCCCATTAGCCCATATCTTTAATTCTTCTGATGATTTCAAAGAAGTCAGCCCAAGCAATTCGCTCGAAGCTGAGGACGATTACTACAAAATGCTCTTGGAAGATTGTGCGAAGGATTGTGTATTTCGATTCTACACCTAAGTCGGTGAAAGAAACGAATGAAGAAGTTGTTTCGCAATCAGTTAAGACAGACGATGATAGTAACTGTAATCGCAACAGTGATTCTGAAGAAGAGATGCCAGACGATTCGGACGATGATGGATATAATGGATATGGTGGATATAATGAATATGATGAATGTGATAGAGGTTATTACTATCGTGACGGAAGATACGAAAGGAGAGGATCCCCAATGATGAGTTCTATTATCTCTCCGGTAACCGCCTGCTGAAAGCGCTAAAGGCAGGAGAATTATTGGGTGAATTGCATACTATTTTTATTTTTAATTTTTAAATCCACGTGAACTGGTGAATTGCATACTAGCATAGACTGAATTATCGTATAGGTTATTTTTTCGAATCACGTGGGTGGCTTATCCAAAAGAGACTGCGGTATTCCACCTGAAATGTTCCGGAAAAATTCTTGCCGAAGAATATGTCGAGTTCTGACAAATCATCATCTCTAACCAACCTCAGGATCTTTGCTTATAATGTCCTTAAAAGTCTCGAAGATAAGGCCGTTGGAGATAATGAATTTCCGGAACTAAGGAAATGCACTGAATGTGGTAACGAGATTCTTTCGTTTCCTTTTAAGGCGTTAACTTTACTCGGTTGCGGGCATGCGTTTCACAGGCTTTGTATCGAGAAAAAGCTTTTACATGCTGAAACGGGAGTATGTCCATTTCCCGATTGAAAGAGAGGTGTAGATATTATTGAAGGTGCGGATACTAGACGAGACTCTCAGTCAGGAGGAAGTAGAAACACAACCCGATCCACTCCCTCTAGTAGTAAAAACAAAAAGCGGGCTAACGAAATTACGGATTCTTCATCTAGCAAGAAATATAAGAAACATGTTCTACCAGAGGAACTCAACGTTTTAAAAAGGCTTATCCAGGAGCTACAGTATCTTCCGATACTACTCCACTTTCTAAAATCAAGGAAAAGAAAGGGCTCTATAGGGAATCCGCACGAGAAGTTGAAGGCGACCGAACTTTTTTTGAACTATATCTAAAAATTTCCAATGCTGAAGAGCGGAACGAAAACGCACGTCACGAACTGATTATTGCATACTACCTCTTGGGAGAAGAGTTAGAGAAGCGCCTTGTTCGCTATAGAAAACGGATGAAGACCACGAGGCCACAAAGAAAGTCTACAATGAAGTTAAAGATCAGCTTCCCAAAGAGGTTTCCAAGAATGCTATCTGAAAGAAGTCGGAAGGTCGAGGAAGGTTTATGATCTTTTTTTTCGTATTAGTGGTGATAAAATCCAACGGATGACGCTCATTCAACGAATAAAAACGTTTTCAGCAACATCTATTTCAAATTTAAGTGATGATAATATCAAATATGTTGCGACTCAGGTTAGGAAGAATAACAAAATTAAGTGGGAACACGTGATGACGAATTTCCTAGATCAAGCCATGATGACTGCTTCTCGGAATTCAGGACTTTTTTTATATATAGTATTGTAAAGCATGATTATCGTTACGCATATTAAAATAATTAATAAAGCTTCTTCGGCTGATTTTTTAACCAATGCAAATCACGAGTCCATCACTCAAAAAAAACTAATTATATTTTTCTCCCAAACCACGGCCATACATTAATTACATTCACATTTTGAGAGAACATAGGAGTCAATCTCTTCTTTTTTTCCAATTAATGATGGTGACTTAGTTACTGCGCGCACAAAATCTGATTGGCCGATCATCTCGTGATTTATAGAAACTCGCCAGCTCCTGGAACTCTCCTAGAACTTTCGAGGAACTAGGGATAACATTCAGAAAAAATTATGAATCTGCTTTTCACCCGAACAATCGAATAAAAATGAATTTGGGTTTAACAGTATGTAGTCTTACTAAATTGGCTACAAATCGATAAAATCGCTAATCAGTAAATCCGTAGCTCCTATGGAGCGCTCTGAAGGAGCTATAAATTTGAATGATGATATTATCTAGCAAAGTTGCTAAATAATTACTAGAATTCACTAAAAACGCTATAAATCAATAAAACCATTATAAATCACTATTTCGTTAGGGGATGGCCAGAAATGATGTAATTTAAATTTTAGGATTTTTGACCCCTATGTCATCATTCATTTTAGGAAATGTAAAATTAAAGCATAATTCTGGCTAGAATTATATTAACTACAAGTAAGGTTGCTTGCCGAAACCTTCTTAATAACTGCTGAAACCTATACGGAAAATGCCGAAACTATATTAAATCATATTAAAAATCCTGCCGAAACTTTGCCGAAATGCCGAAACCCCCATTTGCCGAAACTGCCGAAACCCTGCCGAAACTATAGTAAACATATAGTAAAATCTTGCCGAAATTTATCGCAGGATTTTGGAGAGGTTTTGGCAAGCAACCTTAACTGATCCAATCAAGACGATCTATAGCTCATTGGAATCAGCTTATCAAGACGAATCGAATGGTAGTAAAATCGCATTTCTACAGTTGATAGAACGCTCTATAGTATACAATAAAGTTTTAAATTAATAGAAAGCCATCTATCTAATTTAAAGATGCTATTTTACTACCATTTGATTCGTCTTGATGAGCTGATTCCAATGAGCTATAGATCGTCTTGATTGGATCAGTAGATAGTGAGATATTTTTAAATTACTATTGTCTCTTATACACATCTAGATGTGTATAAGAGACAGGCTATAGATCGTCTTGATTGGATCAGTAGATAGTGAGATATTTTTAAATTACTATAATTATTTAAATTTAAGAGCGTAAACTTTGTAATATTACGTTTTAGTGTAATATTTCAAAATTTTACACCACCTTCGAAATATTACACTAAATTACGCCTAAACAAATTTCCTGATGAATAAATATAAGAAATATAAGAAATATAACTAATATAATAAATATAATAAATAAATTAAATATAATAAATAAAACAATTATATCGTTTATATTAAATATAATTAATATAATAAATATACAGTCAGCCCCCTTTATAGTCACACCCTCGGGACTGAAAAAAAAGGGTGTGATTATAAAAAAAGTCATATGTTGTGACTATAGAAAAGGTTTTTCTAATATATTTATTGGTACATTAGACCAAAATATGGTGTGCTTATAAAGGGGAATTTTATATGTTGTGATTATACAGGGGGTGACTATATAGGGGGTCGATTGTAATAGAAATAATAGGCTAAATAGGCTGCGGCTAGGTCGGCTTGGCACAGTTGGGCACAGTAGATCCTAATTTTTCACATGATCTTTTGGCGTAGTAAGTTGTAACTCTACACGTAACTAGGAATAACAGCGTGCAATTAGAAGTTTTTATTTAAGAAGGATATCATTTTAAATACATCTCATCAGAAAATTTTTATGATTTCAAAAGATGGTCAAATTATAAGAAGCGTCAATTAGCTGATAGATTATTCTAGCAAAAATTGGCTGAAAAATGTTTACAGATCAACAGATCAACAGATACTGAGCAAAAAATGGTTTTACCAATCTCTCATTATTGTCCAGAGCGTAGCGAAGAACTATTTATTGTACAGAACTAGATAAATTTGCAGTACTGGTTTAACTCATGTATTTTTCCTTCCTTCCACCTACGTCACTATAATTTAACCCCTGCTTATTTCCTTTTATGTTTTGTAACACATTTTTTGTAATGCTTTATTTTTAGCAACACATTTTGTGTAACTATTTATATATGTATGTAAACGTATTAAGCGACGGACCTTCAACAGTTTCCGTTTTTCTAGTGTATTGAACTATACTAAATGGATGCAAAATATTTATCTCATATTTGTATGCAAAATAAAATAACTTATTACTATTATTTTTAAATTATCTTAATTAACCAAAAGGTATTGTGTTAAGATTGAAAGATGGGACAAAAGTCACAATTGTTTAACTAGTTTAACTAAATGATTTTAAAAAAATATTTTATTTATTTTTTGCACTATATAATTTATATGGATGATTGCCTGTGAAAAATTGGCCAAAGATGCTATATATAATCTGCCTATTTTGGATTAAATCCTTTAATCTATAATGAACTATTTTTTTGAAGAGTTTAGAAAGATTAATGAAGCAATCTTGAGGATTTTTAATTCCTAAATACTACTATCAATATAGTTTTAAAAATTTTTATGCAACTGTTATCCAGCAAACTTATAGGAATTATAAGAAGAAATCTGAATTTTTGATAAATAAGTTTAAGAGGTGATGAGAAATGATGGTACTTCTGATAAAAAGAAATTTTAGGTATACTTAAAAAAAAATATGATATAGCTTGCGATAAGTTTTATGCTTTATTTAAAAAAAGTTACTCAGAATATATTGGAATAATTAATCCAATTAAAGTAATCTTACTATATAAGAAATATGTTTATTATTCTCCTAGTAAATGGATAGAAGTTAAGAAATATCATACAGAAGTATTTGAATTGCATTATAATATTAAATATTATTGTATAACTCAAAATTTATTATGATATATGTAGGTGTATGTGACATAAATTAGTATATTTTTGATTTTCATTAAAATATATATGATGTAATAAGTGATATCACCATCAAAACAGCTATAAATTTATGTAACTTGCTTGTACAACAATTAATTTTTATATATAAGAAATTGATCTCCAAAAATATTTCAAACTTTTTTTCTAATAATATTTAGCCAAATAATTTTAGTAAAATAGTATGTATATTTGATTGTCTCCAGCTAAAGGATGAAAAATTTTTATTATATTCTGAGTAGAATAATATCTATATATATATCAGATTTTATTAATAATAAGTAATCAAATAAGCAAAAAAAAGTATATGCATTATTTCCAATATCTTTTTAAATGTTAAGATCTTTAATGTATATTTCACAAGCTCTTATTCTCTAATACAAAATTTTGGTATAAACTGCCTTGCATATTTTTCCTATTTCTTCCCTTAACATTAATGCAAATTAGAAACATGAATAGAGACAGTATAACAAAAAGGTATTAAAATTTACTGTATATTATTTTTTTTTTACTTCACTTGGCAAAATTTTTACTAATATTTAACTTCTTATTCTATTAAAATATGGAAAAGTTTCTTTTAATAAGAGAATCTCTCAATATTATCAGAATTTCTATGGTATTATTTGTACGAGTAAAAGAAGGTAAATGAACAGATATTTTCAAAAAAGAGATGGAGAATTTTGAGAATATTTTGAAAGAATCTTAAAACAAGTTCCCTCAAAAAATATTAAGCAAAGAAAAACTTCAAAGTTTAAATAATTAGTTAAATGAGTAAGGCAATAAACTATTTTCATGGTAAATATATAGATATAATAATATGTTTTTTTTAGGTTTTCTAATATAGTATTATCACTAATAAAGGGTTGATGTTCGTTGTAATATTATTACTTCTTACACAGTACGGTTTGGGACACAACAATTCATCAAATAAAATTGTCTAAATTAGAAATTTAATAAAAATATTTTGGATGCATATATTTAAAATAACTCAACATAGTTTAATTGTTACTAACTTAAACTACAAAATGACGTTGAGATTATCCTGATTGGTGATCTAGATCAAAAGTTATTAGCCTGTAAAGTTTGGTATTTTCTTAATAAACGGTAGGATTTGAAACATCTAATTCTGGCCAGAATTTGACAAAATTCTATAATTTAGGCCAGAACTATGACTGGCTGAGAGGTAATGCAGATCATAAAATTTTTTCCCATGGTACGACTAAAGAGACAAGCACAACACTGTTAAAAAATAGCTAAAAAAAGAAAAAAAGCAGTGAAAAATTTGTTCCAGATTTTATTTTTGAAAATATTGATGATTAATAAAGTAAAACATTTCCCGATATGGTTTGATTTTTAACTAATCGCAAATTAGTATTATGTATATCACGTGATTTTTTAAAATCTCAATTTGAAACAACTTGATGATTTGTTGTGTCCCCAACTATAGTAACTAGTTTTATACTATATATTAATATATAGCTACATATCAAATATTTTTTGCTGACATTTAAGACTTTATAAAAATGGAAACCTAATCTAATTCTGTGATGTAAAATTAAATTAATTGTCAAATGAGTTCTGAAACTAATTTTAAATATATTTTAAATTACAATAGCATTCAAAGATTTTTATTCACTCTCAGAAATAGAAGCATTATTAATCAATACTAAAGTTTGATATGAAGATGCAAATACAAATTTACAGTTTTAAAGCATGATGTTGAATGGTGTATAACTGAAAGTGCTAATTATGAAAAAACCATATAGAAGAGAATAGAAACGGAACTTAAAGAAATACTATAAATGTGGAGAATCTTGAATTCAATTATTTGATTTGTTCAGGTTTCTAAATATCAAGTTAAAATCCTTTATAAATATGCCTAGGTCAGTTTCTGATATTTTTAAAAAACCATTTCAAAAATATAAGTTAGAACAGAATTATAATATAATGGAAACTTGTAAAGAATTTATCCAAAACAAAAAATTAAAAATTAATATAAACGAGATTTTGGATAATATTAATTATGGAGAATGGTTAGACAAGTCTGAAAAATTGCAAAATCTAACAAAACGAATGTTAGAATCAATGTAAGTAACTGGTAAGCAATTCTTGTGAAATTCATTTATATAATTTTTTACTTTACTCATTAACTAATAAATAATTATAAGTTCAAGATTTAAAAATCGCCAAAATACAAAACATATATAAAAAAGAAGAAATCAATAATAAAGGATCATATGTTTGTGAAATACTAGTACCATGATTAAATATAGTGATAAATGATTTACCAAAAAACATGATAGCATGCATGGATAAGAATGGTGCCGCAAATAGACAATTGCAGAATAATTACAATTTGCGGTATTGCAGAACATTACAGATTTTGAAGTTTAAATATCTGCATCTTGTTAAATTTCACTGATGGGCTGTAAGAAAAAATTACATGAATTTTTTATTTTTGATTATTAATATACTAATATTACTATATTATGTAAATATGCAATCTGGGATATATAGTTTTAAAGTGACTGATTCATTAAAAATATATATACTAGGCTTAAGTTCAAAAATGATAAAATTAAGGCTAAGAACAATAAAATTATGGTTAAAAATCTTGAACTTAAAACTAGAGTTATAAAATTAGAAAATAAGGCCGCTCAAATTCAAAGCTTTATTTAACATAACTCCTCCTTTCTATTAGATAAATAAAGGATAGTTGAATAATACATATTTTATTAATTTGATTGGTTAAATTTAATCATGTGATTTAAAAATAGATCATTAAAATTAACCATTAGATCAGCTGTATTTTACCAATAGATCAACCACAACTTTTTATTAATATATAAAATGATACTTTCCACTCAATTTTGTATTCAAATCATATTGTATAATAGGTTTCTTTATTGTATACATACTTAAAGAAGTAAAAATAATTGTTTCAGATAAAATTGTAAAGATATTACTTACAGATTGTTGCTAGTTTTACAATATAATTACATATTACCAGTTAGAGGAGATATTTAGGTATTATTAAGAAAACCTTCAGAAAAATGAGTTTATATAGAAAAAAAACTGCAAAGTGATATATCTATGTTAATTGAACTTAATTTTACACATATTAAGTTTATTTTATAAACAACTGAAATTACAGTTCAAGAAAGATGAAATGCGTTTGATTTAATTATAAATATTTTACAATATATTTGTCTTTCAGGATAGAAAAAAAAATACTTGCATGGATTAGGAATAGGAATTGATTCTAATTTTAAGAATCGATTATAGAATTAACTAATCTCGATTAATCAAATCTCAAGATTCAATTTAAAAATTCAATTTTTGGTTTCGATTAATCAATTCTAATCGATATTATATACATAAAAATCATGACATTTGGGATGTCACAATTTGGATAATCATAGTTTTTATGTAAAATTGAATTTTTTTTATTCTTTTAATATTACATCATGATTGTCACTCTTGAAAATGGTCAATTTGGCCTTGAAGTAGATAATAATTATGAATTTTCATTCAATAGGCCAAATCGACTACTTTCTAAGTCAAATTAACCACTTTTAACCATTAGAAATAGTTTTGCTTAAGCAAAAGCCTTTGTGCAGTAACATTATACAAATTTGGCTATATAGTTACTTATAGTGCTCTGAAAAATATCTGATCTGATCTGAATCTACAGATTTGATCTGAATCAGATCTGGTTTAATTTTCAAAATTCTGATCTGTTCAATTTCAGATCAGATCAGATTATAACACAAGAAAATCTGATTTGATTTGAACAGATTCAGATCAAATTTTTTTTTAAATAAAAAAAAAAAATTTTTTTTTTTAAAAAACCTTTTCCTGGACGAATGGACGAAACCAGATGACTAAGATTTAAAAGAACAAACTAGGTAAGTTCGTTTCTTTTTTTTTGTTATTTTTACTTGAAAGAATGTAATTAACGGTTACCTTCTTTTTTAGTAGGAAGCCTGAATGAACGAAGCCTAACAACACGATCAGAATTTAAAAAAATGAACGAACTATGGTAAGTTCGTTCCTTTTTTTTAAGTTTTTTTTTATTTTTTATTTAAGGGAACGTAATTAATGTTCCTTTTACTGGATAACACTCTTATAAGAGTGTTATCCAGTTCTGCTATAATGCTATCTAGTTATGAGTAAACTGTTAAAGTGTAAATCTGAACTGGAATACATAAAACTATCTAATGAAAATATTAGTTTAGAATTGGCAAATACAGAGTTAAAAGATATACTGGCCAAAAAAAAGGATGAATTAATGCGGGTGAGAGATGATTTACTTTCAGCACAAAAGGCAGTGATAGAGAAAGATTCCACCCTTCAAGAAACTAATTCTCTTTTATTAGAGCATATTTCAAAAACATCCAGCGAATCTAAGCAAAATGAAGCGATTGGAGGTGATAAAGGACTGGAGAAGGGTAACAAAATCTCTAGTCCTAAAATAACTTCAGAATCATCTTATTCCTCATTTTTTCAGCATGCAATCATCTTCACAATAGTATTACTAATCATATACTTTCTATGGTGTATATTCTCTTATCTATATTCTTTTATTTCACTTATTAATGAAGAAAAAAATCTTCTGAATTATAAAATACCCATAAATAGAAATTATAGTTATGGATTTTCAATCTGATACATAGAAGAACTAAAAGACAGAACTATCCCCTATGAAACTTTACCTTATAAATATGGATAAGGCCACAAAGCATGAATCTTTCCAAAATATTAGACATCCAGCAATGTCATGGCCATTTGCTATGTTAGTCACAGAGAGAAGTGGTACAGGTAAGACTAATTTACTTCCGAACCTTGTTCTTGGAGATAAAAGTGAGCATATACATAAAAGATAAAAGGGCAGATCCTGATATATTAAATGTAATAATCTAATAGTTTGTGGTTACCATCCTGACAAACTAAAATGGACATTTGTTAGATATATGTATGGATTGATTGCAAGTAATTCTAAAGCGCCCTATTATAAGAATATCAGATTCAGCTACATATCATCAGAAAGAATCCCTAATGTAAAATCCTTTTCACCAGAAAGGAGTACTGTAATTATTTTTGAGAATTTATGTATGGCTCCTAAGGTTGCAGGTTAAACTGGTTTTTGAATTTGGCAAAACGTCTAAACCTCAGTTTTGTCAATTTTTTTATAAGAGTTTATTATAGTTTTGTCATTTCATATGATTTTTATAGTTAAGTTTCGCCAAATTTTTATTAATATTTTAATATAGTTTTGTCAAGTTTCGCGTTTACTATGGGGTTTCGCCTGCAACCTTAGTGGCTCCAAAATATATCCAAAATCAAATTATTCCATTTTTTACACATGGACGTCATCAAAATATTTCTCTATGCTATGTCATTCAAAAGTACCATCATGTTCTAATAATTATTTGTGAAAATATCTCCTTTTTAGTAATATATAATGCAGGAAGCAACTCTTAAGATGTATCCAAAATCATTGGGCGATATACTGATGATGTGAAAGATGTATCTTTGGTTATTAATAGCTACCTTTACAAAGGTAAGTTTGTTGTATTTGATCTCACTAGGCCGGAAGATGATCCCCTTGCAATCTGTCTGCTAAGTTTTGATACTCCACTAAACCTGCAGAAGGAGTTAGAAGCTAGGCATAAGTGTAGGAAAAAAAATGTCCAAGCTAATGAGTAGAATCTGACTTAATAGATACCAGCTTTTTTTCGTAATTATAAAAATTGGAATGGAAAAGCACCAAGCCAAAAGACCAGTTATTTATATTGATTCTCAGAAAGTGCGAGAACTAGACCATATTATAGCAAAACAAACACCTACAATTAATATTGATTCTCAAAAAGCTCATGATTTAGACCGGCATCTTGCTTTACAAAAACTATATTATCATTCTGAGGGTTTTTATCAAAATACTAAGGGATTATAGGACACTTGTAAAAAAGCTGGCTACAGCTTTCCATTTACTGATGTAAAAAAATGGCTTGATAGGCAGGCAATATATCAAATTTTTCATCCTTCACTAAAGCATATACCTTATGCCAGTTACTCTAAAATCACGAAGCCAAATACTGTACACCAATGTCCAATATGATTTAATTGAAATACCATATAATGAAGATGTGAATACAAATTTACTAAATAATGGCCCAATATATTACTATGTACTATTGGTTATAGACTGCGCGACTAGATATAAAGATTTCATTTTTTTAACATCAAAGAGCAGTGAGGAAGTTGCGGAAGCATTTAAGAGTATATATGATAATCCTGATAAACCTTTTAACTGGCCTCAAAAAATACAATATGATAAGGGCACTGAGTTTATGGGATACGTAACTTTATTAATGGATAAACATGACATTAAGATCCAAAAAATTATAGCACGTTTCAGGCATACAAGTTTCACAATGATCGATCATTATGCTGGATTATTCAAATATAGAGTTTTTAAAAATCAGTATTCAATAGAGTTTTTCCTACCTACTGGCAAGTGCTGTAGAAAATGTGAGCAGTTTGCAAGAAAAATTGTTGATAATATAAATAATAGCCCAACTCAATTGATTGAGATGAGTCTTAATGACGCCACAAAACTTGAGCGGATATATTCCAAACCATCAGTAAAATATAATCACCCAATAGGTGTTAATAAATCACAACTACCAAAGAGTACTACTATTCGATTTTTGCTTGCTCCTGGAGAGTGAGAAAATGATCCTTTCAAATGACGCAAAATAACAGATCTGATATGGTCTCCCAACCTGCATAAAATCTAGAAAATTGTTGTTGGGAGAAATCCTCCAATACCTGTTTTATATTATTTAGATGATTCAGGACCTCAGTGTCCCTTTGTAAGAGAACAATTAATGCATATTAAAGAAGAGCCTATGTTGCCTCCTAGGTAGGTATTAGGAGATAACCAAATACGTATAAGCGCTCCTTATAAAAGTTTCTAAATCTACTATGCAGTAGGGTATAGTTATAAGAATTACTCCTTCCCTGTAGCATAGCGCTCTTTTTTTCCAATCACGCCAGATTTGTACGTCTAGATTCATCTGTCCTTGCAGGTGAAAAAAAGGAACAATTTGATAATGTTGGCTACCACTATATTCAAAGTCCAAACCTAGCTCTTCATTATACTTCCTCCAAGAATTTAGGTTTTCAGAGTGGAAATTTTTTATTTAATAAATCTTCAAAAATATACTGGCATGTTCTTTCTGATATATTAAGGCAAATATTACATCACCTATAATTTTGCTTCATATTTTATATGGCGCCTCCCATTGATAATTTTTCTTACATTTCTATAAATATGTATTAGGACTAACTTTAGCTAAGCATCTTCCTTCACGCCTCTGGGCATATGCCAGAGCTTTAGTATCAATTTCGTCTTGTATTTTATAGGCATAATAGAATATCATATACAGAAATTTGTGGTAGTGATCATCAGCTTCAAACTAGTTTAGTCAGAACTCAGAAGAATCGATCTGGATATATGCAAATTCAGAAAAGTTAAAATAAACGGGAGGGCACAGCCCAGACTTTTTTGCGCAAGAAGCATAGTATATATATGCAAGAAAGCAGTATAAAATTACATAAAAATCTGTAAATCTTCAAAATAAAAATTTTATATAATTTTAAGCGAATATGTT